TCTGAAATCCTCTGCTTCGTTGTCTCTGAGTAGTTGGCAATTAACCCTTTTTCCTCTCTCTCTCTTCTTCTCATCCAACCAATAACCAAATACAAAAATCCCCATTTCAAAACTTCTTCTTCTTCTCAGATTCCACAAATCCTCTGTTTTCACGAAGAACAGAGGAACAAGCATCATACACCCAGAAACATTGTTAAGGAATGAATGGTGAAACAACCTCTGATTATGTCGAAGTTGATCCCACAGGAAGATATGGAAGAGTATGTTTTTGTTTCATCCCCAAATCTCGTGTTTTGATTTTTACTAAAACCCCTTTCTGTTTTTTGTTCAGTACGATGAAGTTCTTGGCAAAGGAGCTTCGAAGACAGTGTAAGAATAAGAACATCCTCTGTTTTTCTCTCACGTTTCTGTTCTTTCGATGTCTGTCTCTAATGGGGGTTTTCTCCGACAGTTACAGAGCCTTTGATGAATACGACGGCATTGAAGTGGCGTGGAATCAAGTGAAGCTTTGTGATTTTCTTCAAACTCCCGAAGATCTCGAACGGCTATACAGAGAAATCCATTTGTTGAAGACTCTAAAACACAAAAACATAATGAAATTTTATTCTTCTTGGGTTGACACTGCGAATAGAAACATTAACTTTGTGACAGAAATGTTCACTTCTGGAACTCTTAGACAGTGAGTTTCGTTTTCATGGTGTTTTTCCTCAAATGGGTTTTGTCGAAAACATGTTTTCCGACCGAATTTGTCTTTGCAGATACAGGCTGAAGCACAAGAGAGTAAACATCAGAGCTGTGAAGCATTGGTGCAGACAGATTTTAAGAGGGCTTCTTTATCTTCATAGCCATGACCCGCCTGTAATCCACAGAGATCTTAAATGTGATAATATTTTTGTTAATGGGAATCAAGGGGAAGTCAAAATTGGTGATCTTGGCCTTGCTGCTGTTCTTCGTAAATCCTATGTTGCTCGTTGTGTTGGTAAGTTGAAATTGTGAGATCCCACGTTGTTGGCTGTTGAGGGGAACGAAACATTTTTTGTAAGGATGTGAAAAACTCTCGCAGTAAATGTGTTTTAAAAATCTTGAGGGGAAGCCCGTAAGGAAAAGCCCAAAGATGACAATATCTGCTAGTGTTACAAATGATATAAGAGCCAAGTACTGGGTTGTGTGCCAATGAGGACGCTGACCTTTACGGGGGTGGATTGTGAGATCTCATATCGGTTGGAGAGAAAAACGAAACATCTCTTATAAGGGTGTGGAAATCTTTCCCTAGCATACACGTTTTAACAACCTCGAGGGATACCCCGAAATCTTCACTTATTGACTATTGTTTTGTTCACTTCAGGAACGCCTGAGTTCATGGCTCCAGAGATTTATGAAGAGGAGTATAATGAATTGGTTGATATCTATTCTTTTGGAATGTGCATTCTGGAGATGGTTACTTTTGAATATCCATACAGTGAATGCAGCCACCCTGCTCAGATTTACAAGAAAGTTATCTCTGTAAGCCTTCATTGTTCATCATTTTTCTTCAAGATTTTGTTCTTTGTTGCACCAATTGTTTACATTTCTTCTTGTTCCTTCTAGGGGAAGAAGCCAGATGCTTTGTATAAGGTGAAGGACCTCGAGGTTCGGTGTTTCGTTGAGAAATGCTTGGCCACCGTATCGACTCGGCTTTCTGCTAGGGAGCTTTTGAATGATCCTTTTCTTCAAATTGATGGTTATGGTTGTCATTCCTTGCTGAGGCCAATTGATGGACTTCCTCATGGTCCCTTGGCTAATGGGTATGGGAAGGTTTTGGATTACGGTCCGATCGACGACGAAGTGAGCGAGATCGATCTTTTCTCTGGTCAAGAGGATGAGCATTTGGCAGATGATCATATTACTATCAAAGGGAGAAGGAGAGACGATGACGATATATTTCTACGACTTCGAATTGCAGATAAAGAAGGTAAGAAGAATGAACTCCAATGATGTGATTATGGCATTCAAATACCGATAACATTTGCTCGTTGCTCGTCTTGCAGGTCGGATTCGAAACATCTACTTCCCGTTCGATTTGGAGAATGATAGTGCCTTGAGTGTTGCAAATGAGATGGTTTCTGAGCTTGATATCACTGATCAAGATGTGAAGAAGATTGCTGATATGATCGATGGCGAAATTGCTACATTGGTGCCTGAATGGAAGAGGGGAACAAGCTTAGAGGAAGCTCTAGATTGCACTGATTCTAATGTTTGTGCTTTAAATAGTAATCTTTTGGATTATGTTTCGCCTCAAAATCCTGCACACCTGCACATTCTTCAGTGCTCTCAAGAACATGGCTGTGCTTCCATCCATGGCCGTTTTGAAGAGATCACATATCAAGTCGAAGGGTCGGAACAGTTCAATGGAGAAGAGGATTCGAGCGATATCCACTATGCCGATATTTGGGCGCAACGAGATGGACCGGAGGTTGTTTCACATGAACATGGAGAACTCAGTTGCAATGAACGACATGGAATGTCGGAGAAGACGAAACTTAGAACAGAATTCGAAACGAGAAACTCTAGCTCGTTGAATCATTCGGAGTCGTTCACCGATGATCATGAGAATGAAATTCGACAAGAACTGAGATGGCTCAAGGCTAAGTATCAAATGCAGTTGAGGGAGCTAAGAGATCGACAGTTAGGAGTCAAAACGAAATCTGTTAGCTTGCACCCGAATCCTAACCTCGCTGAGATCGACATTGGCAAGGACATTGCTTCACATTCCCTCCATGTTGCTGATAACATGTCGGAAAACCAGACCTTTCGAGACGAAAACATTGTGGACGAGTCGAGTATTTCCGAGCTGATGTTCACGACCAAGAGTTTCTATACAGGAGCGTTGGTGCCTCATTCTCTACAAAGGGCAACTTCCCTTCCTGTTGATGCCATTGATTTTTAGAATCCTCACTAACAAAGTTGATATTACAGTAAAAAAAGCTCTGTTTTATCATTAGAAGCCTTTGACAGCCCATTTATTTGAATTTGGTATCCAATTGGGAAGGTGAGATGCCATTTTAGAGGCACTACATGTGGCGTAGAGCCGAAGTGGAATGGTCCCTTGGCCCTTTGAAGGCTGCATATTGAATATGTCATGAGCTTCAAAGTTCCAAGTTGGCCAAGTTGGTTGGATATTGAAGCCTGGCCAGAACTTTCAATTTGAGGCTGTTGTGGCTCTTTACAAACCTTTCAATACAAACAACCAACAAAATACACCTCTTTTTTACTATTCTATACTCGAGTTTTTGCCTAATTTGTCGATATTTAGAGGAGGAAGGACACCATTGATCACTGTGATCCTACACTTTCGAGACTCTGATATATTTGATAAAATAACAAATCTCCACAATGATATGATGTTGTCCACTTTGAGCTGTTAGTGCAGGTGTGTCCTTGCCCCCTTTAGTGGACGAGAAAGACAATCATCATAGTTAGCCAACGAGCAATCCCACAGTCAGCTACCTAGTCTTTCTCAAGGGCTTATGTTATGAGGGTCAACCTCCTAACTGCAAATACTGGAATGAGGGTTCAACCTCGTCCTTGACCCTTGTAAACCCCTAGTGAACCAATAGGTGGGAGTGGGGTTTTCCTGCATTTGGGCAGCATCAGTTTCACTCAATCAGTCCCTCTCTACTTCTTCTTCTTCCTCTGCTTATTCAGTTTCTTGAACTCCACCGCATCTTTAGTCCCCTCTTTCTCTTAGACCTACTCTGTAGAGTGCTTCAAGCTCTAGTGGTTTTAGTTTTAGTTTTTCCAAAAAGTCTAGTACCAATGGAGATGGTGTTCGTCACTTATATACATAGAATCTTCTCCTTAATTAGTCAACGTGCGACTCAAACGTCTAGACTACAACGTGTCAGTTGTAGCTATTAGTGGCGGGTGCAATAAGTTGGTAGAGATTCCTTTAAGAGATCACTATTCTTCATAGAAGTGGGTGCAAAAGCTAGCCTTCCCACAATGAATTGAATAGGAGAAAATGAAGAAAAAAAAAATGGAGAATCCGTACCACCAGCAAAGCATGTCGCTTTGAAACCAGACAATTTGTTCAACGTTGTCATCCTCAACCACACTCGCTCACATATAGCTTAGAGAAAAAGTAGACCACAACTTTGTCACCCTCAATTTCAATGTAAATGAACGTAATTCCATGTTTCATTAACTTTTTGTCCGTTTTCTTTTTTTATATTCGATTCCTTCGTGACTTTAGAACACGTTTCATTAATGTTCGTCAGATAAAATTTATAGATATTAAGTTAATTCTATAACATATCAACGTATAAATTAGTTCTACCGAACTTTTAACATTTAAATATAATAAAGTGCGTGAGATTAATAAAGTGCGTGACATTCAAACTTTATCTTATCGTAGCATTTAAAATTAAGCATTTATTTAGAATGAATATTAAATTAGTGAAGTATTAATTATATATATTATTGTGTACAGTATTTGAAAGAAATTAGATGGTGGGGGCATTATTGGAAAATGTCACCACGGAAATCTAAAGTTTGGGCCTAGTTAGTTAGCCCAATACGAAGCCCAGCCCAGTGATCCTTAAAATACCCCGCCGTAGTTTTAGTATCCTCACGCGCACAGTAGGCGCGTGCGCCCAAGTTCCTCGGCAATACCTTAACCAGCAGGACCTCAACGAAGCCAAAAAATGCAAACGCAAAAATTAAAAAAGAAAAAAAGAAAAACACATATGCAAATTAAGTACAGTCAGAACTGTAAACCACAGCTAGCAATCTTCTGCTCCCAGTGAGATATCGCCACGTCATAATTCAATCCAACGTAGCTCAGTGCTGTCCGACGTGGCAAGATCGTCGCCTTTATCTGTGCTCCACCTAGGAAAACGAGATTTGGAGGGGGAAAAATGAAATAAATGAAAAAAGGATAAATAATAATAAGAGAATTATTATTATTATTATTATTATGCTTGAAAAATAAATTTAGGAGAGAGGGAAAAAAGAAAAGAAAAGAAAAGAAAAGAAAAGAAAAGAGAAAAAAAAAAAAAACTGGAAGTTTTATAATTTGCTTTGGTTTATAATAAAGTGGCGATGGCTATGGGATGACGATCCTAACTAAGAAAATTTGTGTATGATCAGTTCTCGTACGTCGGGGCATTCAGCGGCTAATTGAAGCCAATTCCCGGCTATGGAATTCTGGAGCTTTCTGTTGAGGTAAGATTCTTGATATCTCGTCCACGGTAGGGTTGGTGGTTTTCGGTTTTGGTTTTGGTTTTGGAAAATCTTGCGGAATTGGGATCTGTTTGCTTCAGATCTGATAGGGTTTTCATTGGGGGAGTTCGGGGGTAATCGAATTGGGGTTTGTGGTAGCTGGATTGTATTGGGTTTGCTGGCTAGCTCAATATGATTATGGAGGGAAATTTTGTAATTTAGGGTTCTTGCTTTGGGGGTTGATTCTCATGGAGGACGGTGTGAGATCTGGGGGACCATCGGGGGTTTTGGTGAAGACTCGGAACTCGTCCGGTTGCTTAATTGTTAGAAAGAAAGAGGATGGATTAGGGGGCGCCGGTTCTTCGGCCTCACGCTTGCTTCATGCGAAGAAGGAGAAGAAGAGGCCTAGGTTGGTTTTGAGTGATTCTGGGTCCAGTGATGAGGTATTGCTGCCCCATCGTAGACGGGTTGATCCTGAAACCATTCGGGTTTGTAATGGTTTGAATTCTTTTGAAAAGGATGATATGGACGAGACGGGAAGCATCAGAAAGAAGGATAGGTTGCAGTATGTTAAGCGGAATGATGATGTTCTGCTCAACAGGATGGATGTGGATGGTTTAGGAAGAAATATGGGCACCTTAGATGTCTTTGATTTCAACGAGTACGATGACCTCGACGGTGAGATTGAGCAGAGGAAGCATGTTAACGGCAGTGGAGAAAAGCGGTTTCTTGGTTCCATGAACCTGCCTCAACGTGAAATCAAGAGGGAATTTGGAACCACTTCTAGTAGGCATGCTTTGGTGGACAAGAGAAAGAATTTGTATGCAGAAAAAACCAATACCTTTGATCGGGATAGGCCTACGAGAAAGATTAACTTCGACACAGATAGTGATGGAGCTTATGTCCCAACACCCTTGTTAAGGGATAAGTTTAGGGGTCATTCTGATGAAGCAATAAGGGTTCAGGGTAAAAATGGAGTTTTAAAGGTCATGGTAAAAAAGAAGAAGAATGTGAGTGAAACTTCGGATATGTATGATCATCGCAAATTAGAAGAAAGTAGAAAGACTCTAAGGACTGAAGATACTCCGAAGAGGAAAGTGTTAGTTGCTCCTTCAGTTTACCCAGAAACTAAACCTCATGTGAAACAGAATCCCTTTCCTAAGCCAGAGAAGGACCATGCTGATTTTCAAACATCAGCATCAACAAAAAATGGAAAGGGTTGCAGTTGGGATTCAGGTGATAGCGGTGTATCATTGAAGCCCAGAAAAAAGGTTGTTGAAGCTCAGAAATCTACGAAGAGGGCAAGCTCTGAAGTTGAAAAAATTCCATGTGAAGAGACTCCCCCAAGTACAGCAAAGGAAGGAAAAGCAAAACGAGGCAGTGGAACTGAGAAACAAAAGCTACGTGAAAGGATCAGGGGAATGCTCCTTAGTTCTGGCTGGAAAATCGATTACAGACCTAGAAGGAATAGAGATTATTTAGATGCTGTCTATGTTAATCCAACTGGAACAGCATATTGGTCAATTATTAAGGCTTATGATGCCCTTCAAAAGCAATTAAATGAAGAAGGAGCAGAGGCTAAACCCAGTGCTGATGCTTCCTTTACCCCAATCTCAGATGATATTCTCAGTCAATTAACCAGGAAAACTCGAAAGAAAATTGAGAAAGAATGGAAAAGTAAGCAGAGAGATGAAAGTGACAGTGAAAATGCCAAAGAAGCAAGTGCACTGAGATCTGCTGGTACTAAAAATGACGTGGACAGCATGGACAGTGATAGCAACGAAGAAAAATTAAGCTCTTTCATAAAGCAGGGTGGGAAATCTATTAAAAAGAAATTGAACGATAATGGATTTCCTAGTGTTGACTCAAAAGGTCAAAGTTCTAGTAAGTATTCACGTGATGCCAATGCAAAACATTCTTCTGGATTCAGTTCACGTATTTTACATGGAAGAAAAGGTAGAAAGCTTGGATTGTTAGTTCGTCGCTCTAGTAAGGGATTAGATTCAGAGAATGATGGTTTTGTTCCATATACTGGTAAAAGGACTCTGCTGTCCTGGCTTATCGATTCTGGGACTGTGCAGTTGAGCCAAAAGGTTCGTTATATGAACCGCAGACAGACCCGAGTGATGCTGGAAGGGTGGATTACCAGAGATGGCATTCATTGTGGTTGCTGCAGCAAAATCCTCACTGTTTCGAAGTTTGAGATACACGCTGGAAGCAAACTACGACAACCTTTTCAAAACATCTTTCTGGAATCTGGGATTTCTCTTCTGCAATGCCAGATAGATGCTTGGAACAGACAGGAGGAATCTAAACGTCTCAGTTTCCACACATTTGAAATTGAAGGTGACGATCCGAATGATGATACTTGTGGTATATGTGGAGATGGTGGCGACTTGATCTGTTGTGATGGGTGTCCATCAACTTTTCATCAGAGTTGTTTAGACATTCAGGTGTGTATCCAGTTTCTTGTTCATGCTTGTTGGTAGGTATCCCTATTGTGTCACATGCCACTTGTTCAATTTTAATTATTGATCGCAATTTATGATTTAAATCACTTAGTAGGCTGGAAATATTTTCTAGCTGAATTTAGGGAGTTGTGTACGGTTGAGGATGGGATTAGCTGTTCATCACACACTTTCTTTCTTGCTCGCTCGCACACGTACAAAATTTTAGAACCCCTGAAAACTGACATGCACTGGTTTTGGTGATTTAACCAGTGTTATTTGTCTCTGACTTATCTTCTCTTCTTCTTGTATGGACTTTTTTTCAGCCCCCTTTTTGTTTATTATCGTCAAATAAGTTCTTTTAACAGGAATTAGTTAAGGCTAGAGTTGTTGAGTTCAGATTTGACTCCTTTGCTTGCTTATACCGTTGGTACAGATTCCTCCGGGTGATTGGCACTGCCCAAATTGTACCTGCAAGTACTGTGGAGTTGCTAGTGTTGATACTTCTCATGAAAACACTACCAATGTTCTTGAGATATCTAGTTGCATGTTATGCGAGAAAAAATGTATGACTTCAATTTGTTCTCTTTTATTTCTTCTCTCTTCCCTTCCTGCTCATCAACTGTGATTTTATAATCTTTATTTTTGTTATTGCTGCAGTTCATGAATCATGCATCCCGGAGATGGATACTCATTCCAATGGTTCAGTCACTTCTTTTTGTGGCAAGAATTGCAGAGAGGTAGCTAAAATTTCTATTTACTTAACTTCCAATCTTCTTTTAGTATGACTTTAAATTTTGTTGGTCATTTATTCTTGTGGACGTTATGAATAAAGTGGTTGAGGAATTGTGTAGAGCATTCACTTTTTCAATAGTTTTTCAAACACGTAACTCAGTCACTGCGAAAGTATATTCTTTTTTCCTTTGATGTATTTATTCTTGGTGTGAAGTGATAGGCTTCAAAAATTAGATTCTACCAGTTATGTTCACTTTCAATGTATCTAACTTGCTATGGATGACAACCATCAAAAGATTTATTAAACCCAAATCCAAACATTTTTTTCTTTCTTAGTTTCTTGTCCCTTCGGTGACTGTTCCATCAATTGCTATGTAGACCTGCACGATACATCTTTGATTGTTAATTGAGTTTTCATTTAACTTAAAGCTGTACTATCAGTAACGAGAAGGTGGACAAACCTTTGAAGTCGCATTCTGTCTGAGATGGAGTAGAATTTGAAATTTTTAATATGATCCCAATTGTCAGTGATAATATAACTATGATGTGTATATACCTTTGTCTGTTAATGTTTTGACCAATAGTTCTTCCTTGGACTAAAACCTTCTATTTTCAAGAAAATATAGGAATCGACAATGCCCTGTCTTCATCTTAATCTTTATTGGTCTCTGTTATGTAGTTTTTTTATTCTTTTATCATGGATTTTTTTTCCTCTCTAGTGCACATGTTACCTTTGAGCTACTCGTTGTTAAGTTTCAGTCACCTGAATGTGTTGGTGAATACAGGCTACTACAGTTGTACTTTTTGTCTGTGCATGCTGGTGATCATATCATGTTGTGGTATAAGGTTCCCTAATCCTGCATTTACCTGGTTGATGTTTTCTACTTTTAAGTAGTTCTAAGAATTTCTATTTCTTCCCAATGAAAATTTTCACCTGCAGACTAATTATTGTATTTTACAGCTTTTTGAGAATTTGCAGAAGTTTCTTGGGGTGAAACACGAATTAGATGCAGGGTTCTCATGGTCTCTTGTCCGTAGAACAAGTGAAGATTCAGATTCATCTCATCGTGGGCATTCACAAAGGATTGAATGCAACTCTAAACTGGCTGTTGCATTAACAGTTATGGATGAATGTTTTTTGTCTATTGTTGACAGGAGGAGTGGGATAAATCTAATTCATAATGTTCTTTATAATATTGGGTAAGAACATTTTTTCTTGCCTTTAGTAATACTGATATAGTTTGTTCGCATCATCATAACTCTAAATACTCTGAAAGTGCTCTTCTTACTTTTACTATATTTACTTAATTTTGATTGCTCTAACATGGATAAAACTATTTGATCACAATCTACAGCAAAATTTTGTTTTAAAAATTATTTTCTCGTCATGGTATCTGAATGTTTTTCTGATGAGTTTCATGTTTAATATTCCAGATCAAACTTTTATAGGCTGAATTATAGTGGCTTCTACACTGCTATTTTGGAAAGGGGTGATGAAATCATCTCTGCAGCAACAATCAGGTATCATGCATCACACTTCATCATTTGGCGTGGACATATTAACTTGGTATTTGCAGAAGGAAGAAATTTGAATAGACCATATAGTTTTGCTTGTGCATATTTGCAGAAGGAAAAATTTAAGTAGACCATGCTCTGGATAGAAATATGCTCTGGTTGAGTGTAGTTGTGTGTCCAGTTAGTGTGTTTTAGGTTGGTTCTTGCTTTGTTTGTATAGGTTGCAGACTTCATCTGAAAAAAGTTGAACTTTTAGACATAATAGATTATTTATCTTCTAGGATTTGATATCTTCTAACCATATTAGATTATTTATCTTCTAACCATATAGAATGGTAATTTGGTGAAATAAGCTTTTGGTTCAATGTTCCAGTTTTGATGCTTGCTTGATTAGTAAGGTTTTGCTGATATGTGCTATCTTTGATATGGTTAGGTTTCATGGGACTAAGTTAGCTGAGATGCCATTCATTGGAACCCGTCATATATATAGACGTCAAGGAATGTGCCGTCGTCTTTTTCGTGCAATTGAATCTGTGAGTTACCCAAAAGATGTTTCTTAATCTTTTTCCTACTGTTATGGGTTTGCAAATTTAACATACTACTTTCCTTCAATGACTGCAATGTTTATCATGTTTTCCTTCTATATAGGCTCTCCGCTTACTTAAGGTTGAGAAACTGATTATACCAGCAATTGCCGAGCTCATGCATACATGGAATGTTATTTTTGGCTTTATCCCTTTGGAGCAATCACTCAAGCAAGAAATGAGATTGATGAATATGCTGGTGTTCCCTGGAACAGATATGTTACAGAAGTTGTTAATCGAAGAGACAATTGTTGAGGAAAATGCTACTACTGCCTCAGGTTTTATATCGTTCTCATCGTTTTTATTTTTCGAATAAAATTGGTTTTGCCCGCCAATGTAATTCTTCGCTCTATGTTTTTGCTTAAAAGGTGCAAAGCAAACGAATTGTAGAAGTACAGAGTTCAGTAGTCCTAAGATGGATGCAGAGACCTCATCTGGACAGGAACCTCAAAGTTGTGACGACACTGAACAGCGTCACTCCAAGAAGACAACAAATGAAGCAGCTGACACTAACCCGGATCCTGAATCCATGCCTGGTTCTCCAAATGATACATCTGTGGTGAATAGTTCTCTGGACGCATCTCGTGAAGTTAAAACTTCTTGCTTTCCAATGGAAACGGAAAATTCAGATTCTGATTCTGGTGATAAATTAGCTGAATGTTCCCCCGATGGGAAATGTTCATCCCCCTCCAACCCGATGGGGATCTCTCTTCCAACCAAAAATAGGCCTGGAATTCAGCATGTTTCAGAAGACCATTCGCAGTCCACTTCTCAATGTATGGCAGCTGATACTCCTTCAGACAGTTTGCTTGAACCTAAGGTTACAGTTTCAGATGAAGGAATCATACGTTCGAATTCTCATGCTGGCCACAAGTTGGTTGAATCTGATTCTCAGAAGAAATCTTTCCCTTCTACTTTAGGCCATGGTACTGATGAGTTTGAAAACAACATACCCGTGATGGATTCTCCTGAATATGATAAGTGTTCGAATAAGATTAATGGTCATGATTTTCGTGAAGACAATGCCCATGCTAATTCTTTTAAACCTGCTCTTTGGGATGAAAATTTTGCTAATGGCGTTGTCGGTGAAAAGCCACTTGTCTCTTCATCTGGTCTGTGTGGCTCTAATGGACGCCCCTCCGAAACTATATCTGATGATGGAATTTGTGGCAGTGAAAATTCTCCACAGACCTGTGGGGAAAAAGTCAGGTGATTCACGGGAAGAGAGAGCTGAATCTGGTTCGGTTTGATAAATTGAGGCTCCATGTTGATATTTCATCTCCAAATTAACTGGGTTATTTCTCATGCGACCACTTGGTTGCTGGTTTGTGCAGGGCTCTGTTGCTAAATGACTAGTGCTTAAATTGAGATGAGTTGCAATAATTAATATTGCTATTTGACAGAATTTATTCAACTTTATGCTGTTCGGTGTTAGATCATAATCCACCTTCGGTGATAGTTAACACGATTTTTTCAGCCCTGGAGTTCTACAGATGTGCCCTTGATGGAAGTAGCATGGTTCAATTCACTGCCCATCTCTTCTGAAATTGCTGCTCTGAAACACGAACTCATTCATCATGCTGGCTAGCTTGGAAGATCAGACTTCATGATATGGCCGGAACTTGGGACCGACTTCAGTTAGTAGGTTCAAGAACTCTCCAAACCGCAGCATCTTTTTGTTCTTGAAATGGAGCATTTCCATTCTTAATCAGGGTGAAGCTAATCTCTTGGATCATAATCTTCTTGTCTAAGTATCTGCTATCTGCTGCTCAGCCTTTTCGACGAACACAACCACAACAGAGGTAGAGAATTTAAAATTCCGAGACGTTTTCAAGTTGTCAAGGTTTTCTTGTGGGCTGTTCCACATAAATATATTGATACTCATTCATATTACTCGTAAGAATGATATGAGAACAGCACCCTTGGGTGTATTGGCTGTGTTTGCTGGAATGACCAGGGCTTGTCACCTCATTTTGCTGCAGTCAGTCAGGGGCATCATCTAATTCTCAGAAATTTCAGCATCTTCTTGGAAGCTACAACGCTGCCAACCATGAGTGTTTAGGGTTGGTTTGGTTAAAATGTGTGAAGGCAAAGGGTCAACAAAGATAATAGCTTTTAGTGAGAGTTAGAATAGGGCGTCCATTGTTTACTAACTGTTGTTATTGGGAATTACTTGTAATTATCTGGTGCACATGTATTTAGTTTGAACTGCTGGCTGAGGCTAGATTTTGTTCCACTTTTTTCTCGAACCCCAACTTTTTCGTCTTCGTCTAGAGATAGAACTAAAAAGAGGTTTCCACACCTTTGTAAGGAATGTTTTGTTACCCTCTCCAACTAATGTGGGATCTTACCATTCACTCTTTTGGGAGTTCAATATCTTCGCTGACACACCACTTGATGTTTGGTAACATCTTCGTTGTACAATCACTCGGTGTTTGACTCTAATTCCATTTGTAATAACTCAAATCCATTGCTAACAAATATTTTCATTGCTTATGGATTTATTAGATATAAAATTAGATATGGAAATTTTTATTTTTTATTTTTTTTTAGGTATTATTACTTTAATTATTTTAGGTTGATATTTGACTCTATTTTACTATAAGTTTATTGTTTTAAATGAAAATTTATGTTTTTAAATATAAATTATTGAATAAAAGTTTTAAAATTGTATTTATTAAAAAAATGAAATTAATAAATTTTTTATTATCGATATATAATGAAATAGGTGTGAAAGAAAAAAAAAAAAATATATATATATATATATATATAATATAAATTAAATTAAATTAAATAGTTGGTGGGGCCGGAAAGGGAATCGGGAAGTAATCGCTGAATAAAACACCCATTCACCTATCCAGTTAGCCCGGAAGCTAAAAACGGAGATTTTCTGATTTCTCGTAAACCCTAGGCGGCTCCGACCGCTTCTACAACAGCCATGGCCGGCGGTAACAATACAAGCAAGCCGTCTCAGAAGCCTCCTTCTTCTTCCACCGCCCCTTCTAACCGGAAATCCCGCTGGGAGTCCTCCACCAACAATCCTCCCTCCGATCCCAAATCCGATTCTAAATCTTCCAAACCCCATAATCCTTCCTCGAAGGTTGCAATTAGTCCCAATGCAACTCATCCCAAGCATCCCGCCGACAAGGCTGCTAATCCAACTCCGGCATCGGCTCCTCTCCATTCACCTGGAGTTCCTCTTCCCTTTTCCGATCCCTCGGATCTTGGCCCACCGCCTCCGCCGTCTTATGGATTCCACATGCTCGATCGTCGCACGATTGTTCTTGCTGATGGAAGCGTACGGTCGTACTTTGCTCTCCCTCTGGACTATCAAGATTTTACTCCGCCTGCAAGGCCCATGGATCTTGCTGCTCGGTTTTTACCAATGGGGTCCGGTGGTCCTGGCCGTGAATATGGTGGATTTGACCGTCGGTTCCCCCCCGGTGGCCCTATGAGTCCAAATGAATTTCGGGGTGTTCGGGAAGAACAGTTTGCGCGTTCCAGGCCTCAAGAGCACTGGAACTCTCGAGGGACTGACGAACGTGGTGGTCCTGCAGAATTTTCGATGAAGAGGAAATTCAATGACGACAATGAGAAAGACAGGAAGGATGAGAAAGACGAAATGTGTAGGCGACAACAGCAATTCTTGCACAATGAGAATGCAAATGGGTTTCATACTGGTTCTGGCGAACGGCGGGGTGATTTTTTGGCGGGAACGAGTGATCCATATGGTCGAACAGAAGATATAAGGTTCTCGAAGTACATGCGAGTTGGTGGTAGTTATGAAAACGAAGGTTTAAGGCCAGGTAGCGGTCACAATGTAGCTCCTAAATATTTGGAAGTTGACCAGAATGCATTGAGAAAGGCATTCCTTCACTTTGTGAAGACTATCAATGAAAACGCAACTCAGAAAAAGAATTATTTGGAGGACGGGAAACATGGGCGTCTTCAATGTCTTGCTTGTTCAAGGTTTGATGCAATTGGACTCTTTGTGTCTTATCTCTTTGACTTGCAGTATTTTTATATATTGCTGATAATTAATGCTTCTCTTCCCTGCATCCGGGATAATTTATGGTGGATGCAGTTAGCTAATACATTCCACTGTTTGTTTGCACTGTCTGTTGTGGTTAAGAAGGAAGTGAATGCGTTGAGCATATGCGTTCTTGATCGCCCTTTCCAATTAAGATGTTTTTCTGCTGCTGCCTTTTCTTTTAAGACTGATATGAAGCATTTAAGTGGGGGTATGGATACTGACTTGAGTGTCCGTGCCTGTGGCAAAAACTATGCATTCATTGTACTAATGTAATTTTGGATTTTGATATGTTTAATTGATTGACAAGAAGAAGGGAAAGGAGAACTACACTCTCTTCTAATATTTTCCCTGCGTCTATTGTGGTGGTTGCTGTGAGCAAATACATCGACTGTTTGTTTGCTTTTGATGTTGTCGTGACTGAGAAGGAAGTCAATACTTTAAGTGGATGCTTCTTGATACCTTTTCTTTGCTCTTACTTATCCTTACGAGTGTTATATACAAGCATTTGAGGAAACTGTGGATGCTGGCTCTTGCTGAGTGTCTGGCCATTGGTTTTGTTGTACTTTTCCTCCTATACATTTGTTCCCCATATTACGTAATATAGGATAGTGGTGTAAGATAGTTGGTTTGGTGTTAGAGGTGTGATCTTTCATCAAGTTCAATGTCTATTTGGGCATCTTATTTATTTTAGATTGTACCTTTTTTTGTGTAGTTAGTTGGTCTTGACTTTGTTTTGGCTCCTTTTGGAGGGTTATCTTTGTGTATGCTTTTGTATTCTTTTATTGAGATCTCATTCTTTTAACATTAAAAAAAAAAGGTCTATTGGGGTTGGTTTTTGGCCAAACTTAACCCAGGATTGGCTTCAGTAAAAGCAACCAACTGATCATTTTTTGGCTTTATTGTTACACAACGGAACTAGGGGATGGGCATAGTCCATTGACTGTTGGACTCGAGCATAATTTTGCTTCCTAACCAATGTGAATGGCTTGGAATGGCCACGAACATACTCTCGTGGTTTCTGGTAATTCTGGAGGGGTAAGTTTTGTTGATATGTTTAGACTTTGTCCTGTGCGTTGCCTTGCTTTATACTTGGTTCTTTTTTACTATTTTTTTTTTTTTAATTTCTTGATATGAATTCCCATGTGATGCTATTTTTATTGCAAGGGTTGTTTAAGGGTTTTCCCCTTATTTGTTATATTATTTCATTTTACTGTATATGTATATTTCTTATCTAGTTACCTTATATTTTTTTAGGAAAGTATGATTGCATCACTGTGTAAGTGCCATTACCCTGCAACCTTAGACATTTTTTGTTCACTTCATTGTGATGTTGGTTCACCTTTTATATTGTGTTTTCCTATAGGTTTGGTCTCTTTTAGCCATGTGATACAAGTTCGATGGCTTGTATGGATGCAATTATTTTGTGTGTACAATATGGTTACTATATTGCCTTACCATCAAAAGTTGTATCTGGAAAAACCTGTTCTCTTTATGGAGTGAATCAGCTGGTTATATTTGTTTCTCCCTTTACAAATAGTTCTAATAGGAAGCTGGTGGAATGCTACTAACTCTGTCTGATACATATAGCTATGACGCATTAGTGGTAAAAGATATTGTGTTAGTTATCTCTTTGATGGTAATTGTTTGGTTAGGCATTAATCCAAGCCTGTAAATTGTAGTTGATTTGATGCCATAATCATAATCAACGAGGGAGACCTGTTTAGCCTTTTTTTTTATGAAACTCCCTGTCCCGCATATATCAATTTGAAGTATTTGTGGATTTAGGTTGCCAAATGGGCTGCTTTGATGTGAATGAGGTTGAAAGTTTCTCATGAATGAATAATTTCTTCAATTCTAGTGTCTGGCTATTTGACAATACTTGCCATTTAACTTGCTATGTGACAATACATGCCACTTTTTTGTGCCTGTGGGGAAACATGAGTAGCAATAGAAGAAAAAATAATCTCTCTCCTGAGAGGTATCAATACTTAGTATAGTGTCTGATAGGATGTTTTTTCGTGCCTTTTTCTTTCTCCAGGGGGAGGAACTAGCTGATAACTTGTTTCCTTGGTGCCATTCTTTGCTTATCCATTGTTGGCCTGGAAACTTACAAATATTTGCTTGATTTTCCTTTTGGTGATTTTCTAATTAAGAAGGAAAACATGAGACTGTTCCTAGTGGTTGAGAGGACTTCAAGGCTATATGGGAGCTTTTTGTTTGTATGGACTCATTTCGTTTAAGGATTGCATTCCTTGAATTTTTCCCTGTTGGAGAATCCTTATTACCTTTAGTATAGCTCAAGCTTGTTCAATATGAACTTTGTTAGTTTGGTTTGGTATTCGAATGGTGTACCTTTTCTCTCGTTTGTGTAATTTGTTTCTTATGAAGTGTACCTATGGGATTTCAACCATGAAAATATCTGAACCTTTTTACCAACCATGTATTCATATGGTGTACCTGTTCTCTCATTGGTCCCATATCTTCTTTATAATGTGAACCTATGGGATTTCAACCATGAAGTTATCTGAACCTTGTTACCAATCATTGATTCCTGAATATTGTGCATGTTTGGTCGTTAATAAACTGCTTGTCGTCTCAAGCATATGTTTGAATTTCCAATTGTCATTAAATGAGTAGAAATAGTGTAGAAGATTTCAAGCTTCAATGTTTTGATCAATGGATTTTGCAGACGAGGAACCCTTATTATTGGTTATCTGAGGTTTCTTAATGTAGTAGAAGGATAGATAGAAACCATTTGATGAAACATAGGAACCATAAGTTTTTTAGGTATGTTGTTATTTAAGTTCCTCTCATTATGAAATTGTATAAATTCAAATAATCTTAGTTATGGAAGAAGGAACTATGATACTCACTGCTCAGTAATCGAGATCATTTACCCATTGACTTCACAGACCTGAAGATTGATAACTTTGGTGACAGGAGAACCTGAGATGGAAAATTTTTGCCTCTTCTGCTATTTGTCTGGACTGCATCTTCCATTTTTGTTTGGGATCACAAAGTTGGAACTATCGCAACAAAAATTATAAATCTTTCTTAGGACTACTGCAGTTGAGAAGAACTTTAATGGTTGGTGGTATGATGTTAGCTTGTTTTAAAAGAAGCAGTTTTGAGACCTAATTTCTGTGATATGGAGGCTTGATTTCTTTGCTTGATAATGCTTTTTGCAATATTGGAGTCTTCGTTTCCTCCTTAAACCTTCCATTTTAAGTGGTGTACGCCACTTTATTCCTAATTTGGTTCAAATTTGTAGGCTTATATTATTGTTTGAACCTATTAAAAATCATATTTTGGCCCCCTAAAGAATGTTGCCCCCTCCTTTATATGCTTGCTTTCAGGTCCTCTAGAGATTTTCCAGATATGCATGGCCTTATTATGCACACATACAACTGTGATAGCGCTGACTTGCTAGTAGATCATCTGGGTTTACACAAAGCTCTTTGTGTATTAATGGGGTGGAACTACTCAAAGCCTCCTGATAGTTCAAGAGGGTACCGGTATCTATCTGCTGATGAAGCAGCAGCTAACCAGGAGGATCTGATTATGTGGCCTCCTCTAGTTATCATCCATAATACAATTATTGGAAAGGGTAAAGATGGGCGCATGGAGGGTTTGGGAAACAAGGCAATGGATAGTAAAATTAGAGGTATAATGAACCTTTTTACTTTTTTTCATTTTTCATTGTTGTTTGAGTCGATTTATCTCTTGTTAGACAGAATAAGGTCTCTTATCAAGTAGCTGTACTGCATCTACAACTTTACTGCCCAGCAATTTCACTTAGAAGCACATAAAATGTCCCTTGTCTGTCTCATCTGTCACAGATGTTTTAGAAAATAGATTTAGATTGCAGAGTGCTTTAATGAATTTTTAGTTGCTGATGAGAACCATAGTTATATTTATCTGCACTTTCTATTTTAGTTAATGAACTTGAGGTTATATCTGAACCCTCCATGAAGGAGTTGATGGCACACGTGGAAACTTAGTCTTTCTGGGACGGTCTTGTTTTAGTGTTAGTGGAACTGTTCCAAATCCGATTGGAAGGGATTTTTTTTATTCCTTTTGCTCTAGGATATCCTTATCCTCACTCTTTTGTACTTTTCTTGACGAAATAGCAGCTTCGTATTGATTGAATGTGAATGAAGCTGTTTCTTTTTTTCCATTGAGTTGATTCCGTTCAAGTGTTTATGCGTTGTAGGGAGGGGTAACAGTGTCCAGTCTCTTCTCTCTCTCTCTATCTCTCTCCCACGTGTGTCACATTAGCTATAGCTATCTGCTTGATAATATATATTTTTATGAAGTACCTTAATTATTTATTAGTATAGTTGCTGATTACACTTGGGTTATATTTACCTGGTTCATAACATACTTATAATTAACTTACCTTAATTTTTTTTCTGAATCCCCCAAGGATAAGTTGATGGCACGTTGGAATCTTTTGGGGGTTTGTTATAGTCCTGTTTTTGTGTTGGTGAAGCTGTTTCACGTCTCCTTTGAAGGGATTTATGTAATCCCTTTTCTAATCAACGTCCTTAAATCTCTGTAGTTGCTTTTGGTGTCCTTGGTGATTTTTTTTTACCCTACAATCTTTGTTGGCTGACAATCTTGAGATATGATCTATGGAATAGCTATACAGAATCAAGGGAGTTTATCTGAGAAATTTTCATTTCACTACAGGCATGTGCTTTGCACATTAGATATTATTTTCAGCATCTTCCACCCTCTCAAATGTCGTGTCTAACATATCTTTTATTTTGTTGTTCTAAACCCATTGTCTTCAAATAGATTGTTTTCTTTGTTCTTATATCATATAGGCTTATGAGAAGTTAGTGGCAGGTTACAGATCTTTAGATGATCCATTTTGTCGATGCATCTTCTTTTTTACTTAGTTTTTACCCTTACGCAACTTCTTAATGTCATCGTGTATACATAGTACTGCATTAATGAAGACTGATGTGAACTGGAAGAAAGTGGGGTTGATTTTGATTATTTGAACATAGACTTGTAACTATAGTCTCTTATTTCAGCGGTATACTTTGGATCATATTATTCGTTTGTCTTTAGTGTGTGAGACACTGGAGGTAATGATAGGCTCTGCAAATTAGTTACTTTGCAATCCTTAACAGTAGAGTTAGATTCAGATTGATGGGAGATGCTCTCATATTAAGCTAAGGGCAACGTTTGTATTTGACCTCACCTTAACAATATTTGTCATGCTAGTTTCTAGTGTGGTGTTTTGTTAATTGGTAGACATGATAATAATTTGCTTCTGAGGTTCTTTTTAATTTATTATTTCATTTGATTTGGTTTTCCAAATTCTCAAACTTCCTGAACTGGGTGCTTGGATTCTGTGTCCTAGTTATTTTTGTTTTAAATGATCATGCATGCTATTCACTTGTGGAAACTGCCTCTTGTTGTCTGTAGCTTCTGACGCTTTTAAGCTTTTTGTAAACAGTTCTCAAAATGTCTATTTAGTTTATACACGGCCACCTCTGTTCCTAGTTCAAAGGCCTTTACCTTTTATAATCCAATGGCTAGTTTGCTATCAATATATTGGCATTAAGATGTCTTGACGAGTCATTTGGCCTTCCTTTTTTTTTTTTTTTTTTTTTTTTTTTTTCAGAACTTGTTTGATGGATCAATATTTTCAAATTGAACTGGTTCCCCCTTTGTCCTTTGGGCTGTGAACAAAAAGGGCTTTGTTTGGGTGGGTAGTGAGAGAGTCATTGATACTGGAAATGGAATAGTTAGAAAATCTGAGGTTTTATTTAAATATCACCAAAGTTAAACAATGTTAATTTCCAAATTTAAATGTGCGTANCTTTGTATGGAAGGGAGGGTCATTTGGGCACAACCTTGATCAAGTTTTCGGGTGATCAGTCTGGCCTCAATGAAGCCAAGAGACTGGCTGAATTTTTTGAGAAGGACAATCATGGACGTAAAGCTTGGGTTTGCATGCGACCTGCAGCATTGGGCAATGATGATGATAAAAACCCAAACCTTGTGAAGGTGGATGAAAAGACTGGAGAGAGGAATAGAGTTTTCTATGGCTATCTTGCAACTGCAGCTGATATGGACAAAGTTGATTTCGATACAAGGAAGAAGGTAGCCATAGAGAGCTATAGGGATATCAAATCATCCAGGTAGAATATCTCCAAATATAGTTCAGCTCATGTTTAATTTGCATCCTTGGATGAGCTGCAACGCTTGGATCCGATTTATTTTTGAGCTCGATGGTCATCGGTAAAGTCTACCAAACAGCTTGTTGAATATTGTCCGTTCGTCAAAAGGAGGTGGGTGGTTGTTTGAACTACCAGTGAACATTACTTCAGGAATTTCCCTGGTTTTGTTGCATAATTTTATTTCTACCGTAGGATGAATGTGTATGGTAGGATGTTGATTATGGATCTGGCTTGTCAAATGTCTTAAATTCTAATGATTGAAAGTTGTTGCATAAACAAACCCGGACAATCTCACCATCATAATTCTACGAACGTGCTATTTGTTAGAAGCAGGATATGAGCATAATTGTGATCATAATGACTCGCTGTATAAGCATCTGGGAAGGAAGCTAATTCTGAGTTAACAAGCCTTCCGTTGCATACTACTTTTCAGGACAAGCATACAATTTTAAAGTAGAGTGCGGAATCAATCCTCTGGGCTGTCTCCAGTTACGTTTCTGCACGTACTTATTGATTGCATGTTTATCAAAAGGGAAGTTGATTGTGTAGGTGAGTTGCCTTGTTTTTAAAATATCTGGCACACTTGGGAGTTGGAGCCGACCGCGGGTGTGCATGTGAATCTTGATGGAGGCTCTAATCAATTAATAATAATTGTTATCGGATGAATTAGACTCTCTTGTATTTATAACTTGATTCTAGCTTGAGAAATATATCTTCAACTAGATGATTTTTGTTCATTGGAGTACAAATCTGTGCATCTGGTCCAACCAATCAGGAGTGGATCCAGAAGGGTGAAATGCCTAATTTGGTTGTTTTTTTCTTATATATTATTGATGTTTGTACAATATATTTCAACTAGACAATTGGGCAATTTAATCTTGGTTCACAGTAATCTAATTGAGTACTTTTTGAAGGTAAATGTAGCTTATGCAGCCGAGTGTGGGATACCAGGGTGGGATACCAGGAGGCCAACTTTTAGTGACAGTTTTTGTTTGCTTTTCAGTGTCTGTAGTTTCTGTTTGATATGATTTGAAGAATTTTTTCTTTCAAAAGTAGAAATAGGAAGGATATTATCTCTGGGGCAGTGATGTTGAATGCTGAAAATTAGTCTTTGGTGTCGGTGGAAGGAGGGAGATACTTTGAGAGTAGTCTCGGCTAGGAATCTTATCCACAATATTGTATGGTTGCGTCCAAGCTGGATGGTTACATCATCCTACATTTATATTTTAACCAGGAAAGCCTCATTACTATTAGTATTATTTTGATGTGTTGTAAGCTATGTTGCAAAAGATTCTTGCTATTTCCTTCATTTTGACAGGTAACCATGGAGGTAGTGTGGTTTTGGTTCAAACCATGGATCCACATGAGAAAGAGAATGGAACCCTAGATTGAAACGGGGTTGAGACAAAAGGGGGAAGTTGAGAATGGGGATGGAAGGGATAGGGAAAGGGGAAGAGGGTGTAAGCTTTACACGTGTGATGCGCATGCTTGGAAGACGCTGGAGTTGATGTAGGGAGGGAGAGGCAGGAAATGGCACTGTGTATAATTGCGTACCTTGTTTTGGCATCTGTCTGTGCTTTAACTGACTGAACCCATGTGGTGGTCAGACTATGTGGGCATGGCCCATCCCCCCACCTATCCCCCATTCCTTTCCCTCTCTTTTGCTTTGATTTTCGTGAAAGCACTTTCTTCCCACACCCTAATCCCTTCATTCTGTTCTCTACACTACACCTATGGTAGTTAACATACACTAACTACTCTACCTACTGTTATACTCTACATCCATGTTCTTGATCGAGTGAGCTGTGCTCGAATTGATTATAGTTGTTTTCTTAGTGTTTTTTTAGACTGAGTTATGCTTGAATTGTTTATAGTTATTTTTTTGCTGTTTGAGTTGATTATAGTTGTTTTCTTATTGTCTTTTTGACTGAGTTATGTTCTGATTTATCATAGTTTTCTTGTTGCCTTTTCAACCGAGCTATACTTGGGTTGATTATAGTGTCTTTTTGGCTGAGTTATGCTTAGATTGATAGTAAAGTCATTACGAAAACACTGATTGTAATTCATGTGGGTTTTGGTAATAATGGACTAGTCAACCTTGTGACGGAAGAGCTACTATTATGTTTAGGTGACCAATAGATTGAGGAACAGGAGACTTGAAGCATACACTTATCTAGTGAGTCAAAGATGCTTGGTTAAAGGAGTCTAAGATGACCCTGACGTTTCCTTGCTTAGGTGAGATGAACTTAGTTGTGATGAACTTAGGAAATTGATCTCTTTAGATTTTTAAAATCATATAGTGCCTGTATGACTAGTTTCAAGTAGGTTGGTTGACTAGGAAGATTGGTTGTGCAATAAAACAGCTTTCAAGTAGGTTGCTTGACTGGAAAAACGGTCGTGCAATAAAACAACTTTCAAGTAGGTTGCTTTGGATGCTGTAGTAACAATATTGTGGGGGAGGTCTTGCGGAAAAATATCTCGACACGTAAATCCATCTCTTAGAGTGAGAGATCAAAGTTCCAACTTTATCCAAACTAAACTCATTAGCAACACTATTTAAAGCATTAATATATTGTTGACATTTTTAAAATAATGCCTCGTGCAGGATGGTAATTTTTCGAACATTTGACGTTTTTATAGAACAAATTGTTGTCTTGTTCACCTTTCCCAATCTTATCTTCAAAGAAAAGCATTTTGCTTCAACTTTACCCCATTTCCTTCTTTTATTCTTACAATTTTTTTAGAATAATAAATTATAGTAGATTGTTCTTCATTTCTTAGTCAAATTTATAATAATATGGTAAAACAATTACTTAATAATATGGTATTTAGTAATGTTAAATCATTATTGAAATTTATAAGTAATTTTTTTTAAAAAAAACTTAATTAAATAAAACGGCCATTTTGCCAACATTTAATTTTCAAAACAGACAGCAAAAGCCAAAATTGCATAACGCATCATTGATAATTCCATAATTAGAAAAGTATTAATGCATGTTTTTTTTGTTATAAATTTAAAAGTAATTTTAGGAATAATTGTAATAAATATACTCTATTTAAAGTATATTTTATGTAATTGAATTAATTTACTCTTGGAGCAATATTGTATGAAATTACTATTCATTGATCTAATCATCATAACTTTTTTATTCAACTTAAATCATTATTTTAATTTACAGATTAAAATAAAATTTAAAGATTCAAACTTGTCTAATAAATTCATATATTAAATCATTTCAATTTATTAAATTTAGCAAATTTTGGCATTTAGTAGTTTGAGTATTAAATTAATATATATAAGAGAAAAAACGTATTAAATTAAATACATAATTAATAGCCCTATCTATTTGAATAAGGATTTCTAAAAAATTAACTTATTAATTTTTTAAAAAGAAAAGGAATAAAGAAATACCTTTAAAATTCTAAATCCTTCCAAAATCTCTAACATTTTAGTATAACGACGTGTGAAATAAAGTATTAAAAGCCAAAACTTGTAATTTAAATAAATAAATAAATATATATATAATTGAGGGAAGAAAAATAGTATTTAAATTTAAATCCAAAGCATTTGATTTCGAAAGCGGTAGTCATCGTCGGCGTATTCTAGAATTGTTTCACACGTAACTTTTGGACGCCGGTTTCCGGTAATTATCACTTACGTGTCATTCTCCTATTCGTTCGTGTAACTTCAGTTGTCTTGTCCCTTTGATTAATCTCTTCCGTTCCAGGTTTCATTCCTTCCCCTTCTTTTCCATACGCACTTTCTCTCTCTCTCTCTCTCTCTCTCTCTTTCCACCGCCGAGACGCCGCCACCGCCGCCGTTCGAGACTTAAAAAGAAATGGGGACGATCCCCGATCCCGGCGAGTTGACTCACCCGAGTTTTGATGAGTTCCAAAGGCAGACGTCTCTGATGGCGAGCTGTACTCTGCTCTGGAAGGAGCTCTCCGATCATTTTACTAATCTGGAACAAGATCTTCTTAAGAAATCGGAGGCACTGAGGCATAAAATTCAAACCCTAGACCATCAGACTAAGGAGTCTCTTGACGAGCTGGATAAGCGCGAGGTTAGTATCCAGGGCAGTGTTCAGATCGCGCTTAGTAAGGTCGAGAAAAGCATGGAGGCGGCGCTTAAAGCGCTTGAGACAGAGGACGATGAGAATGGTGAAGTCGATGATGGCGATGGATTGTTGTTGAAGCTGAAATCCTTCTGTTTGGGAATGGATTCTGGAGGATTTTGGACGTTTATCACTGGTAAGAAGAAGGAATTGGAAGCATTGAGGGCGAAAATTCATCTGGCTTTAGCTGAATGCATCGATCCACCGAGATTCGTGCTGGAGGCCATCTCGGAGGTGTTTCCACTGGATAAGAGAGTGGAAAAAAGTGATGGAGGGAACGATTTAGGCTGGGCTTGTGTTTTAGTGCTTGAATCGCTGATTCCAGTTGTTGTAGACCCTGTGATAGGGAAGTCAAGGATTTTGGTTACACCTAGCATGAAAGAGCGCGCCAAGGAGATTGCTGAAACTTGGAAGGCGAGCTTGGAAGAGCGAGGTGGAATCGAGAATGTTAGAACACCAGACGTGCACACCTTTTTGCAGCACTTGGTTACTTTTGGGATTGTGAAGAGGGAAGACATTAATTTGTATAGGAAGCTCGTGGTTGGATCGGCCTGGCGTAAGCAGATGCCCAAGCTGGCGGTATCACTTGGCCTTGGTGATATAATGCCTGGTATAAATTTTTTGCATTTCCCTTTTGTTTCATATGGAAAACTGATATGTTTTTTTATCTTGGTCTTATTTTAGAAGCAAGAAATGGGTTATATTTTGTTCTTGCTCTATAAGATCCAACCATGGAACTATATGAGCGAAATGATCTGTAAAAGCTCATTAATCCACATTTTAACGGATCAATTAGAGCTTTTATGCAAATTGCACGGAAAATTATATCTATGAGAAGGATTATGTTGGTAGCATATCAAATTTTCACAACATTCCATGGATTTGAGGCTGAGTGGTTATTTTGAAATTGATAGCTAAATGTTTCATTGTTCTTACTAATTGCAATGTTCTTATTCTTAACCTCGCATCATTTGTTATTATTACTATATCATGGACGACATTACTGTAATGGGAGAGCTGCTATCTATGTGTAGATATGATTGAAGAACTAATCAGCCGGGGGCAGCAGCTTGATGCCGTGCATTTTACATATGAGGTTGATCTTTTGGATAAGTTCCCTCCTGTTCCACTGCTGAAAGCTTATCTGAAGGATGCAAAGAAAGCTGCAGCTGCCATTTCTGAGGACCCAAATAATGCTGGCAGAGCAATGGTAGAGTTTATCTTATTTCTTTACTTCACTATTACTTCTTGAAATAAGTTTTCGCGTTTGTGTTTGTATCTTTCATGTGATGATGAGTGAGGGGTCACCAATGGGCTGTTCATTGGATATCTCATCTGTTTGAAGATATTTGTAGCCTATGTTATAGGCTATGCTATTTGTGTTTAATTGGTGTAAAAGGAATTGTCCTCATTTCCAGGTTCTCTGTAGTATTCGATCTCAATGGACTCTATTCAACATATCAGAGGCGGTCGTAATTGATATACTTTCTTTTTGTTTGTTGTAGCACCTTGCTGCACGAAAAGAGCAGTCGGCACTTCGAGCTGTCATCAAGTGCATTGAAGAATACAAGCTTCAGGCTGAGTTCCCTCCAGAAAACCTTAAGAAACGCCTTGAACAGCTTGAAAAGGTTAAGGTTGAGAAAAGAAAGCCTGCTGCAGTCCCTGCCAACAAGAGAACACGTGCAAACAATGGCGGTCCTATGCCTCCTGCCAAGGCTGGTCGCTTGACGAATGCGTACGTATCTTCGTACCCTGCAGCTCCCGGATTCATTAGGTCCCCCTCGCACTCTCAATACCCTGCTGGTGTCCCACCTTACCATTCCCCACCCTCAATGTATGGTAGCAGAAGCCCACCCACAAATCCTTACACTTACTCGCCTGAATCTGCTCCACATGCTGGATACACTTACTCACCGGAAGCTGCTCCACATGCTGGATCCTTTCCCACGCCTCCAATGTCCTATCCTGTATATGGTGGTTACGGCAAGCCAATGGCCCCAGCATATCAACCAGCTTACTACCGATAAACATGACTGATCTCTGATGATGGTAACTGCTGATTTGATGACTCCGATCTTGTTATTTACTTTCATAATGGTTTGTCTGTAATACCTAACCATTAAACAGTAGCGATGTATGCGTGTTAATTGTGACTTTTCGTGCTGAGAAGCCAAACTCTAATGTTGATCAAACTTTAGCTGTAGGTTGATGGTGTAAAGTTATTAGGATGACCACGACAAAAACATTATTAAGTAGATCCTAATGTCATTTGGTCTTTAGTTGTAGAAAGGCTTGTCCTATTGCTTATATTAATCTCTTAGTCTCTTACTCGATCATGCCTATCATCCATCCGTATTTGAGGGTTATTTACTTTCATCCAATTTCAAATATTACCTCAATGCACAGATTAGGTTTTGCCCAAGTGGCGTTTGATAATTCGTCATCATCAAGATGGGTATTCAGGTTTAGAAGCCCGTCTCTGATTTGCTGTCTGTGGCTATGAAGCAGGCAGGGCATGATCAGTCAATCTGATGCTTGTTCGTGTGTCTTTTGAATTCTACCTGTTGCAATCTTACTCCTGAGCTATTGCAAATTGTTTATCAGATCATCGCTTAGCCGCCACTTGGTGGTAAAGAAACAGGAGAAGTTCTACAAAAATGGCTTGAAATTTAGATCTTCTTTGTTTAGCCTCAACTTCTCATCAGGTGCCTAAGTTCGTTTACTCATTTGATGCATTTTCGTCAACGAATTCGATCCTTATTCTGAAGGTGACATGTTCAGCATCTCATAGATTCTACCTCTAAATAATTGAGTTCCACATTATACACAACTTAAATCTATAGTGGGCCAACCCGAATCATCCTTGCCAATCTCCATTCAAACTTCGAGATATAAAATATGGTTTGACAAAACGGAGCCTCTCCAATCTTCAAAACATCTCAAGTGCTTATATTTTGGCAATATTCAAATTATAATGAATGCATAGATAAAACCTATCTTAACAAATAAGTCAGCCGTGATTCCGACTTCGCTGAAAATATGATTGAAGAAATGCGTTAACAAAATAGGCTAAAAGCAACCGGATAAGCAGAATGCGAATAAGCAACCACTACAACTTCAACCTCAAGAAGGAAGAATTGACGATTAATCACATCTCTATATTACATTTTGAGCATTTTAACCCTAGCGGACGTAGACATGATTTTGGTAACTGATCTTACACCCAATAATGACAAAACAAAAGTAGTAAAAACCTATTTAACATAAAAGAAATAAAAATAGTTTGAAACGAACATGCGAACTATAGACAAAACGTTCTAAACAAACATGATTGTAACATTCAACCACGCAAACTATAGACAAAACGTTCTAAACAAACATGACTGTAACATTCAACCACAGACCACACGCCTTAGACAACAACAATTCAAGAGTTCCATTTATTGAGTCAACATCTAACCTTAGGTTTCTGCAAAGTTGGATCACTGCAAGACCGCAAACCAAAGAACACATGCATTGCTGCTACTCTCACGCTCATTGATGGCGCACATTCTCATTCATCCTAGCGGCTTCTGCCATGGACTCCGCCACCCCACCAGGATGAGCTGCTACTCTCGCCTTGTTCCTCAGCTCTGCACTCATTACCCCTTCCGCGTCCTGCTTTGTCACCACTTTATCTGCTGGCAGCCTCATTGCGGCGTCCTGTAAACCAAAACTTCATATAATTTGCGACCCTTTTCTACCTGAATTTTTGCTCTGTTTTTGTTTGTTCAAACATACTATTTGGATGTCCTTCAGTTTAATCTTATCTTCATCCTTGATAACTCCGGCATTGAAAGCAGCTGCCGACTGAGCACTCGCTGCGAGTCCGCCCGGTATCACGACGTTGCTCCCTGTTGCCCTCACCTCTGCTGCTTGAATAGCAGCAGCATCGCTCTCGTCAACCGGTTTATCGCCTGCGGTGTGAGCAGTCGCTTCTAGAGCTTGCCCTATGGTGATCGCATTCTGCTCAACAATGGCAGCTCCGATGAACGGCGTAGGCTCCACAAACTGCCCAACGACCTGAACTCGAAGGGTGAAAAACATGTTGAGAGAGAGTCCCACGTAAGCTAATTTAGAGAATGATCGTGGATTTGGGTTTATAAGTAAAGAATATACCTCCATAGGTATGAGGCCTTTTGGAAAGCAAAAAGTAAATCCATGAGAGATTATGCTCAAGGTGGACAATATCATACTATTGTGAAGAGTCGTGATTCCTAATATGGGTATCAGAGTCATGCTTTTAACTTAAGCATATCAATAGAATCCTTGAATGTCGAACAAAGTAGTTGTGAGTCTCGAAAGTGTAGTCAAAAGTAACTCAAATATCGAACAAATGGTGTACTTTGTTTGAGGGGAGAGCTCCAGAGAAGAAGTCGAGCCTCGATTAAGGGAGGTTGTTTGAGTGCTCCATAGACCTCAGAGGAGGCTCTATAGTGTACTTTGTTCGAGGGGAGGACTCCAGAGAAGAAGTCGAGCCTCAATAGAGTGGAGGTTGTTTGAGGGCTCCATAGACCTCATAGGAGGCTTTATAGTGTAATTTGTTTGAGAGGAGGGGTCCAAAGAAGAAGTCGAGTCTCGATTAAGGGAGGCCGTTTGAGGGCTCCATAGACCTCATAGGAGGCTCTATAGTGTACTTTGTTCGAGAGAAGGGCTCCAGAGAAGAAGTCGAGCCTCGATAAAGTGGAGGCTGTTTGAGGGCTCCATAGACCTCATAGGAGCCTTTATAGTGTCTTTGATCGAGGGGAGGGCTCCAAAAAAGTAAGTCAAGCCTCGATTAAGGGGAGGAGGTTCGAGGGCTCCATTAACCTCGGGGAGGCTCTAAGCCTCCCGTTTATTTTTTTGAGGAGAGGGTTTCAAGGATGAAGTCGAGTGTATGATTAAGTGGAGGCTGTTTGAGGGCTCCATAGACGTTAGAGGAGACTCTATAGTGTACTTTGTTCGAGGAGAAGGCTCGAGAGATGAAGTTGAACCTCGACTAAGGGGAGACTATTCGAGGGCTCCATAGACCTCGGAGGAGACTCTATAATGTACTTTGGTCGAGGAGAGGATTGTTGAGAGGGAGTGTCTAATTTAATTAGTCAATGATGATGAAGTAAGCGTAAGAGTGTACTTTGAGTTCCGATCCCTAACAAAACAGAGTATCTCCCGAATTCATTTGACCTAAAATCAATGCTTTCAGAATTAAAATGGGACCTGTCCGGCGACTTTTTCGGTGATGACTCGAATTCCGGGGACATCGGTCTCCTTGACGGCAACTCCTTGGTCTCTAGCAGCATCAGTGACATCGTCATGGCCAACGAAGCCAGAGCGCTCGTTACGTGAGGCGGCAGACTGCATCATTGCGGCGGGCCCGCCCTTCTGGGTTTCACCGAACACCATGGTTTCGGCGGTTTGCATCATGTCAGCATCCACCGGCGGTATAGCCTTGGAGGCAAGATCTCCAGAGACGTTGAAAACGTCGCCATATTTGATAGGCCGTTGCTGTTGGTGGCGGCGCGGCTGTTCTTGGCTCATTTGCTTTCACAGAGTAAAGGATCCTGAAACAATCGGAGGAGGGAATGTTGCAGGTTGGGGGAGAGGGATTTAAACGGTCGTTGCCGGACGTTCGGAAGAAAAGGTAAATGACACGTCACCAGACACGTGTTGAATTCTGTAACTCTATGGTACAGGTTTCATCGGTAAAGACCCTCACTATTTAATTTTGATTTCCTCCGTAAATAAATCGGTTGAAGAGGAGAAATAAACATTGAGTGTGGAGACGAGGAAACCTCTCGTTTTGAAAATGTGAGACATGTCTATTAGAGAGTATAATCAAACATTCTTTGTAAATATGTGAAAATTTCTCTCAAACAGACCAGTTTTACTTGTATAAGAGTGTTAAAATCTCTCTCTAATAGTTGTGTTTTAAAATCATGAGACTGAGGATGATGCGTAACGAGCGAAAGCGGACAATATCTATTAGCAGTTAGTTTGGCTTGTTACAAAAATTGTGACATCGACGATATGTAACAGCTTAAAACGGATAATATCTACTAGCGGTTGATTTGAGCTATTACAAATATTGTGTGATCGACGATACGTAATATGCTAGAGCGGACAATATTTGCTAACGTTTAGTTTGGGCTGTTGCAAAAGTTGTGAGACCCCACATCAGTTGAAGAGAAAACGAAAAATTTCTTGTAAGAATGTGGAAACCTGAAACTCTTTCTTAACAGACGCGTTTTAAAATCGTGAGGCAATACATAACGAACTAAAATAGACAACTAACTGCCGGCGTTTAGACTAGAGAGCTATATGTAATTTATCAAAACTGACAATATATATTTTAAATTGGTTCTTGGTGTTACAAAAATTGTGAGATGTCATATTGATGAGTGGAACAAAACATTCTATAAGAGGGTGTGAAAACCCGAAAACGTCTCTATAACCAAGCATGCCAAAGGATTCAACCATGAGCTCAAATTTGATTAAATTCCTTTCAATAAATGAAAAATCGAAACAGAGCGAGAAAGATTGACTAAACAATCCCCTTTCTTATCCCCCCACGTACCTTTTTCGGCGTCCTCCGTCTTCGGAACCGTCACGATCAGCTTTCCGCCGGCGAACTGGGCGGTTACAAGCTCCGGCAGAGCCGTCTCCGGCAGTCGAAATCTCCACGTGTCGGTTTCCGGTTCATCTAACTTCAACTCCAGAGCCCCAATTTGTGTAATCACAACCTTGAGGACCCCGGGATGGATATGAACCGTGTGCGCCCTAAACTCGCGGCGGAGTCCACCAGTTTCCGCTACGAATCGGAAGCAATCAGAGGTTTCGGAAATGGAAATATCGGCGTCGGACTTAAAAAAGGGAAGCTCCAAAACCCGGCTGAAAAGATGGGGCAACCGCCGCAGTTTGTTAGGGTTTAAACCCGGAAGCGATCGAGAAGGAGACATATTCCCGCTGTTCGACATTGGAGGAACTTGGAAGAAACAAAGTGATTGTCTGGTAAAGGAAGGAAGGAAGGAAGGAAGGAAGATGGCTTCCAAAAACGAATCAAAATGTTGATCATAGAGTTGGTGTTCAAGGAAAGGGAAGAATCGGAATGAGTGGTAAAGTGGAAGCTAGTGTTTGCTACGTCCCTAAAACCGCATTAGTCATCAATGCACTCGAAAATTTATTGTCGACATAGAGAGTTACCGACTTTAATTCACTCCCCATCATTTCGCTCAACAAATTTCATTATACCATTGTGGAGAGTCATGTTCGTCTAACATTATTATTGTTTTAAATAATAATAATTTTGATAGAAATTTATTTCCAAAATTTATATAAATGTAAATAAAAACTAATGGTATGAATTATTTTAATATTTATTAAAAATATAAAAAAAAAATGAAATTTTCAGACAAATAGTTATCAAAATAATAATTTAAACTTATTTGAAGTTTGGGATGCATCAATGGGCCTACTAAGTGGTGTTAAAGAGCCCAACATGGTTGGCCCAAAACGTTTGGTAATGTGTTAATGGGCCTACTATAAAGGGTGTGGTATTAAACAACCCAACATGGTTGGCCCATTTTAACCTTTTGACAGAAAACACCCCAGCTGAAATTATAGCCAAAATTCACACACAAATCGGGTCATAAATTAAAAAATATTCCCATTTTAACTCATTTATTAATATATTTAATATGTCACTATTTAAAAAAAAAAAAATCAATAACTATGTGAAATCCAATAAATTAATAAAAAAAAATTATTAATTAGGATTTACGACGACGACAAATTTTAATTATTTTAATTAAAGGTATTATATGATAAAATGTCTTAGGGCAAGGTGACCTAAAAATGTGTCCTATCCACAAAAAAAATGACATATTGTACTATAGTGAACAAAAAAATCATAAATGAGATTTAGTGTTGGTGCTACTTTATTGTAACATATTGTATATATAATTGTGTAAAAACTTTATAAACAATTCAATTATATTATATTTTTTAATACATTAATTAATTTTAAGTTCCATTTATTTAATTACACTAATCTTACTTCTTAATCAACCCAACTCAGATAATTAATATCATTTGACTTCAATTGAAGCACACTCAAACTTCCTTAAATCCCACTTAATCCAACAACATTATTACACAAATAATAATAATAATAATAATTCTTTAGGGTTACCTATCACCTAAATTTAATTTAACCATTCAAATTTATTCAAATATATTTTTAGTAAAAATTTAAATTATTCAATAAAATCGTCACATATCTCGAAACAGATGCACTACGCTAACCAACACGTAACCTTCTTTCCCCTACCCCTCTTCTGGTTATGCTATTACCAATTGCGAGTAACCCCCAGGCCAGCTGCCCTTGACCTAATAAGAACCATTATCCTTATGACCAATGCAATGAATTGTTTCATCATAAGACTGATCCTAATTAAATCGATGAGCCCACCCCACTAAAGAGGGACTCTGAGAGGGGTACTTTTTTTTTGCTGAATACAAATACCTGAGAGAGTGTACAAGGTCTCTTCTCATCGGGCTCGCTTGGATATTTGGGCTGGGTCAAACTAGTTCATAAAGAAACTGTTTTGGCTCCCGAGCGAGAGTGAGAACGAGAAATAGGCGATGCAACTAATCAAAGTGAGAGTAGCTCGACTCGAATATCGAAGAAAAGTGGATTTGTGTGTAACCAACTATTAATCGAAAAATTAGAATATAAAATTGATTTTTTTTTTTTTTACTTTTCATGCATGAAAAAAAAACCAAGAGAGAGAGGGGAAGGATTATTATTAATATTGAAAGGGAATTGAATGGTGTAGGGTGGAAAATTATGTAAAGGAAGAAGAGAAAGACGACATGTTGCGAACCTGGGAAGAAGTGGAGGATGAGGAGGAAGAAGAAGGAGAAGAGGAGTGGGAGGACGACAAGTCGGAAGAGCGTCTTCTTAAGATTTGCTTCATGCCGTCGGCGACTCTAACGGCGGGGTTAGACTTGAACTTCCGGCAAAAGAGCATGTGGGCTTTGACGGCGTCTTGAATCCCGGCGGACGGCGGCGGGTTTTTGGATCTGAAAATTTCGTCATGAACGGCTTCAGAACAGAGGCCACAGAGCCATTTGGCGTCGAAGTTGGCCTTGACTTGAGATATGTAATGCTGTGTGCACTCTTCTTTTAACCCACAGCACTCGCACTTCACTGTTTCTATCTCCTCCATTCAAGAACATCAAGAACATGAAGAACAGCAACAAGAAATGGCTATGGAAAGTGGAAAGCTCAAAGTGGGCTATGCCTTCTTTTTATTTTACTCAACTTTCTTTTCTCTAAAAAATTGTCTGCTCACCTCACTCACTTTTATGTTGTGTATTCCATAAACCTCTTAATATATATTATTGAGGAAGAAACCTATCCATTCACGTGTGTTTAAGTAATTCGAAAACTCCACTAACTCGAACTATCTAATCCAAATTATAAAAATTTAGTTGGGTTTGGTTGATTTCTTAGAAAATTGAAAATTTTGGCACAAACCCAACAAACCTGGAAGATAGGGTTACTGTCTAACTCACCTACCCTCCTTCTAAGATGATTATGACCGACATGTGAGATCCCATATCGGTTGAAGAGGCGAACGAAACATTCTTTATAAGAGTGTGCAAATCTCTCTCTAGTAAACGTATTTTAAAATCTTCGAGGGTTGAGTTGAATTAAGAAAGGGAAATGTGCCATAATTTGCTCCATGTTCTAAGGGAACATGGGGCAATGGAAAATGAAAGAAAGGTGGGACAAGGGTGGCCCTAACTTGGCCCTTTCTAACAATTAATATTTGATGCTTTGGTCCCATTAAAATCCAAAAAGCAAATATGTGGAACTAAATCACTCCACTTTACACCTTTTAATTACCCATTTCTTCAATTTCTTTAATTTTAATGTTTATATGCTCAAAATTATTGCTTGGAAGTGTATTTTCGAGTAGGTTTGGTGGGTTCACCAATTTACCCATGCAATTATACAAATCATTTCTTTCACTCTTTTATAAACTATATAGCCTTTACTTCTTAATTATATCGTCTTTATTAGAAAGACGTTTTTACACTCTTATAAGAAATGTTTCATTTCCCTCTCCAACCGATGTGGAATTTCACAATCTACCCTGTTGGGGCTCAGTCCCAGTATCCTCACTAGCCCATCGCCCAGTGTACTGATATGGAATCTCACAATCCACCTCTTTTGGGGGGCCCACTCCAACGCCCTCGCTAGCACATTATTTGGTGTCTGGATCTAATATCATTTGTAACCACATAAGCCCACTACTAATAGATATTGTCTGCTTTGACCCGTTACGTATTGTCGTCAACTTCACAATTTTAAAACGCGACTACTAGGGAGAGGTTTCAACACCTTTATAAGAAATGTTAGTTTCACTCTCTAACCGATATGGAATCTCACAAATACAAATCAACGTGTTTACTAAATGGATTAGATGGATATTTAGAACATGTTTGAGAGTGATTTTAAAGTTTTTTAATTATTTATCCAAATTTTAGCATAGTATCTAATGTAATAATGCAAACAACTTTTTGGCTTCATATGAATAATATAAAGTTCCAAACTTTAACAAAAAGAAAGTAACATATTTTTTAAAAAAAAAGAAATAAATGAAAAAATATATTATAATGATATGCTTTGTTTTTAATTATTTAGTTATGTCCTATTCTCATGTTTTGCCCCCAACGACAAGCAATTCAAAATTTAATTTTTAATATTTTTTAAATCAGTGTACTATAAATGATGCAATAATGCTTGTTTGTTTGCATCATTAATTAATTTAAAGGGCTAAAACTAATTTTAAAAGCATTTATGAAGCTGATCATATCATTAGGGAATTTAGAATTAATGTCACATTAATCCATTGATATTTTAGATTAAATAATTCATTTTAGTATACTTTGGCCACGAGTAATTATTTAAATGGTTTGCAAAAATTTTAATAAAAGAAAAATTTTAAAATGTCTAAAATAATAAAGATTTAAAACCTAAGTAGTATTCCAAATCTAATTATTATTTAATATTTGTCCTATCAAAATTTAAAATTTTGTATTATTTATTTTTTCAAAGGATAGTTAAATAATTATTAAAAAAAATCTATATCCCACATCTTTTAAAACAATTTTATTTTAAATTTTCAATTTCATCCTACTAAATTTATATTTATAGAAAATTTGATAAAATTTGGCATGATTAAATAAGATTTTAGATAAAAACAAAAGATAAATTATGTTCAAAGCTATGAATTATCATTTTTATAATTAAAAAGTTTTCATTATAAATTCGAAGCTATTTCGACTCTCGAGTCAAATAAGATTTTAATGTAACGTGAAGTGGACTCATTTTTAAATGGTTTATCAAATGATTGATGTAACACATAAATTAATCATGAAATTAAATGCAACATTCTGTAATGGAGGGCGGTGGTTGTGGTGGTGGTGGCGGCGGAGCAAAAGCACACCCACTCCGACCTCTGTTCTTCAATGCAACTTTATTTATTTATTTATTAAGTGTTATTTAATGGAAAAATTAAATGCATTATAACTAATTTGAACAACTGGAATTTGATGTAAACACTCGAACATATCATATCAAACTCTACCACCAATATTTCTTCATCAATATGTTCTTGAATTTTGTGCAATATATAGTTTTTTTTTTTTTTTTTATTTATTTATTAAAGATTCAATTTTTTAAAAATAAAAAATATGACACTATATTTAAGTTAATTTATTTGTTATTGTATTATAAATATAATGTAGAGATTTATTCTACCACTTCAAATTATAGAAATGAATTTTAACTTTCTCCGAATCATAAGAACTAAAATTGTAATAAAAACATTTTGGGTACCGGATGATTCTCTCACGTCATGTTCTTATTGTGTGATATAAAAATAAAATAACGTGTGAACTAATGATCCAATAATAAATTGAGATAAAAAAATCGAGGCAAAAGAAATAGTAGATAACTTAAATACACAGTTTTGATCACTCATGTGATCAGATGACTAAACTACATTAACATTGGTCATTAGAGTTCAAACTGACTGAGCATAAATGTTGGCTAGAATGATTGGCATGTAGAGTCCAACTCATATTTAGGTTATAGACGATCAAGCTATATCAAGGTCAAGGACACTAGTTCGGGCTGATAATGCGTAAATATGTATAGGGTAGGTATGATTGAGATGTGGAGTATGTAGGAAATACTTAAATGGAATATGAAACGAATATGAGAAGTTTGAGAGAAAGGGAAGAAACATGTGGGGTCGGTGAGAAGCCCTAACAGTAGGGATCAAATGTCATACACTCAAGACAACTAAATGGTTGTCCGGTGGGTGTCCGGTGGATGTCCGGCAACCCAAATGGTCTTACAATGAGTGTTTGGCTTCTCATGTCTCATCTTCATTGCAATAACCCACAAATCAAATCTACCTAAAATCTTCTACTCAATAATCAATCATATGTGTAAAGAACAAGAAATCGACTTCATTTTCCCTCCTGCTTCAATTTTAGTTCTTGATATTGAACGAGAAGAAATAAACTCAAACCCAAACCTAAACCGATGAGTTAAGTTCCAAAAACAAAACAAAAAATGGGCATACTTTAAATTAGATGAGGAATATGAGAATATTTTATTTTGAAAGATAATTATTATTATGGGGTTAGGTGAAGTTTGTTCAAGAAATTAATGAACAATACAACCTTCACCTTCACATGGCAACCCACATGCATTCTTTTGTTCTAACTCATATCAAATCAAAAGATGAAAAGAAAATAAAGCATTCTTTACGAGGGTCGTTTTAAAATTTTTGAAAAAAAGTCAAAAAGAGAAAGCCAAAAAAAAAAATAATATCGGTGGACTTCGACAATTACATTCATAGAACAGTCTCTCATATGAATCCGTCTCAGAAACAAGCATACATCTAGTCTCAGAACACAAACATACATCTAAAGCAGAAAAATAGGAGCATGCAATAAAATCCAGTAGCACTATTGAATGGTGGCTGCCTAGCAACTTGGGCACGTTTCCGGCTGGTTTGACGACTCAAAAGGAAGCTTTTTCTGGTTAATGAAATTGGGATAGGAATGAGAGTATGTGGCAAAAAAACAGGACCCACCATGTGGACTGCAGAATCCGCCAACCACATGAGACGTTTCTTTGGGTCCCTTGATGATGCACAAAGCCATGTCCATATCCAAATGGAAAGGTCTATGTGCGCCAGATATAGCGTTAATCAATGTCAATCTACAAGACTCTATTTGATTCTGGTCGGCAGCAATGTTTGGCAATCTATGAATTGTTTTAATTTGTGACAAGAGAGTTTTTCAAAATATCTACAGTTGTTGCAAAAATTCTTCTGTTTTGGTGGGGAAGAAGCGAGGATGAGACTTAAATTGACTTCATTTCTATGTCTAAGCTCTCTTTTGAGCTGAGATCTGGGTTTTCATCTGGAAGAAGGACAATGTGAGATCTCACATTGGTTGGAGAGGCAAACGAACCATTCTTTATAAGGGTGTGCTAACGAAGAGGCTAAGTCCCAAAGGGATGTAGACACAAGGCGGTGTGCCAGCAACGACACTAAACCACGAAAAGGGTTGGATTGGGGGGTTCCACCTCAATTGGAGAAGGGAACGGGTGCCAGCGAGGACGTTAAGCCCCGAAGTGGGGTGGATTGTGAGATCTCAAATCGGTTGGAGAGGAAAACGAATCATTCTTTATAAGAGTGTGCTAACGAGGAGGCTAAGTCCTGAAGGGGGTGGACACGAGGCGGTGTGCCAGCAAAGACACTGAGTCCCGAAAGGGAGTGGATTGGGGGGTCCCACATCGATTGGAGAAGGGAACGAGTGTCAGCAAGGACGTTGGGCCCCAAAGGAGATGGGTTGTGAGTCTCACATCGGTTGGTGAGGAGAATGAAACATTGTTTATAAAGGTGTGAAAACCTCTCTTTAGCAGACGTGTTCTAAAAACCTTAAACGTGTTCTAAAGAGGACAATATATGCTAACAGTGAGCTTGGGCTGTTATAGTCAAGGCAACACTGAGCTCAGATTGAACACTGAGCTCAGATTGCACAAGATTTCTAGAGAGGTTAAAAATTCAAATCTATCATGAGTGACACCAAAGAGCTGAGTCAAAGCAGAGCACCGATCAGACTTCCAAGAAGGCTCCCTCTGTTGCTATAAGACATGAGAGTTGGAAAAACTGTGGCTTCTATTCCCAGTGGACATGTTCTTGCTGCTAGCACAAGAACAGCATGAAAGAAGCCTGAAAAACGACTTGATGTTAGCCTTTCCAAAGAAAAACGAAGCCAAACAATGAGAAGAAAACAAAGCTAAAAATAAGAGAAGGCTCATGAGTGGCAACTAAAATCAACTATAACTTGTATTGCCTGAAAGGGAAACGATTTGAAAGATAATAATAAGTGCAATCAAGTGGTCCTTCAAACACAGTAAGAAAATGAAGGCAATATCCTTATAAATCCACAAATATTGATTTTGTTTTTTCTTCTCCTTCATTAGTTTTGGCAGCAAAAGATCTAACATTATTTCAAGCATGTGTCGAATAAAGAATAAGAACAAACTGATGAACATCAAGGAATATTAGTTCCAATTATTTTAGATATCTTCTCATAATATTAGTTCCAATTGTTTCTTGGTGCATTATCATGGAGTTTTCCCCTTCAAATCTCCCACTTTCTATGTCTTACTATGCATATGCAATATTAAGGACATCAGAGTGGCATTTCAACAAAAACATACTACCTGGCCAAGAACTGTGATGATTTAAACCAGTAATAAGAAAAACCTAAGCCATAAGTACTCAGACATAATGAAAATCCGCAAAAAAATTTGATCCTTTACCTATCGCCGTCCCGCTTCACTGTTTTAAAACGTGTCTACTAAGGAGATGTTTCCACAATCTTATAAAAAATGCTTTGTTTCCATGTCCAACTTAGGTAGGATGTCTCACAAACACATTTTCTTCAACAAGAAGAGCAACTGCTGATGTCAACAAAGGTAATAAGACTGATACTCTAATGCTTATATTAAGAACCCACCAGTAAGCCACTAAATAAGGAACTCACAATCCCACCAACAGCGAAAGATAATGATCCATGGTAAATCCATATGGTAATAGCTACTTAAAGAAATCCATGGCAGAAATTTGTTTGATTAGCGATGGCATCATCAAATGCAGAAATTTGTTAGAACATAGAAAGCTATGGCGTTTAGAAATTAAGCAGTTAAAATGGGATTATCATAAATCTTTCACAAATTCAAACTCGATTACTACAACATTGATTCAATAATTTGAGTTTGATTGATCGATGATCTTACCATTGTTGGAGCACAGAAGCGTGTCGTCGTCCAAATCGGATCGGGTACTTGGGATTGAAACGGATCCAAACTTCCAATTTTGTGGAGGCTCTACAGTTTCTTGTGAAATGACGATACTACCCCCTCCCCTTTTGTTTTGTTGAATCTTGGGCCTTGGCCCGTTTAGCTACAATTTCGGCCCATGAATGAAGCCCGTAAGCGTCTTTTGGTGATTTTTTTTTCTCTTTTTTTTTTTTTTTTTTTTTTTTTTTTTTTTTTTTTTTTTTTTTTTTTTTTTACCTAAACTTAGCAATATATATAGAGAAGTTGNTTGTTTATGAAATTTGTAATCTCTTAAAATATTATTAATCATTACTCTCACAGTAATCATTTGATTAGTGTCAATAATAGATTATTTCCAAACTTTTTAGTATTATTTTTTAAAATTTATGAATATTTTTGTGAGCATAAAAAAAATAGAAGTAATTATTATTATGTATAGATGATGTAAAAGAAGGTGGGAGGCAAAGAAATAAAGCAAGTTTAATAATGTCATTAGTGGTAAGTGCATAATTAAGAGTTGATTAAGAAGAGAGATTAATCACATAATATAATAGCTTCATTATTACGACAATGAAATATTAAAAGGGCAAAAAAAAAAAAAAAAAAAAATCCTGTAATTAAACAAACATACAACAAAATTCCAACTCTACAAAACAGAGCACAAAGACATGGGAATCGTTCCAATAATTTCCATTTCCATGGCGCTTTCTTCATTTCAATCGTCTTCTTCCTCCAGCATCATCTCTTGGAATCGACATTCATGGCTGCAAAATGCCTTCTCGCCTCTGAAAAATTAATTAAACGGATCAGAAATTAATGATCATTTATGAGCTTTAATATGTTTTAATTTTGGATTCCGACCTGTACATGTAAATATCTTTCCCCTGTTCTAGATTCTTCTTGCAATTGTCGCAGAAACTGAGGAAATTTTCTGGGGAAAAGCTTGTTCCATTTTCTTTCCACGCCGGTGAGTATACGCCGGAGCCGCTTTCGATTACGCAATCGCCGAAGATATGAGTGGTTCGAGGATTTGGGCCGTGAGAGATCACGCAGGTGTAATCCTCTGATTGTTCGATTTCACCGGCGGAGAGACAGCCGGTGAAAACCAGAGGGGAATTCGGAGTCTCCTGGCCGGAGCTCGAGCTCGAGGATCCGAACGCCGATTTCTTCGGCGGCGACAGAGATGAAACAGGGGATGATGAACCCAGATGGGAATTTCTCGTCTTGATCCCGAATTCCTCGTCGGCCGGAGAAATGAACGGCGGTAGAGGAGGGATTTGAATCTTCAACTGAGATCCTAACAGAACCATACGAGTTTCGGGTTTTGTTGGTTTCGGATCGGAATTCTCTTCTGTTAGAGCATCGACAATGGCGAGACCGATCCCTTTTGAATCCCACGGCCGTTTGGACTCTGTAATCGGCGTTCTGGGCGAACTTGATTCCGACCAAAACGAATTCCTCAGACCCAAAAATGGCTCGAGAATTGACGTTGGACTCATTATAGCCTCTGTTTCAAACAACCTCGGAGAACCAAAGAAAGACGAAGTCAATTTCCTATTACTACTCGTCGGAGAAGACAAACAACCACCACCACCACCGCCACCGCCACCGCCGCCGGCCATCAAATTCTACTTCTAGATCTAACTCCCCAGTATCAATGAGTAGCCCCCTGAAATCACAACATCAAAAAATTTTAAAAAACACCAAAAACAGTTCTACAGATGAGAAATTCAAACATGAAGCTCACCGGAACAAGATGATCGGAAACCGCCGTGGGTTGGGATTTATTCACCGGAACTAAAATTTCGGTGGCTTCCATTTAAAAAACTGGATGAACAGAGAAGAGTTTAGTTAATCAATCCACCCTCCGGCTTCGTGTTTTAGTTTCCATTTTTGTTATGAAAGCTTTCATAAAAATTAAAAAACCAGAAGAAGAAGAAGAAGAAGAAGAAGAAGAAGGGGTGGAAGAAAACAGAGGAGATGATGGAAGAATATATAAACTCCCACGCCGGAGGCTGACAAGACAATCGGTCCCTACGCCCACACCCACACCCACACCCACTGACCTGACACTCACATTTTCTCTCTCTTCAATTTTTCTTTTTTGCCACAATATTTTGTTTTTTTTATATATAAAAATTCTATTTAAAAACTAAGAATATAAATCTGTTATATTTGTTGAAACTAATTAATTATTAAATTTTCTTAACGCATTAAATACAAAATTTAAAAATAAATATTAAAGAACTAAAATAGTTTAAATTTAAAAATGATTAGATATAATAAATATTTTTTAAAATTTCACAAAATCTACGGGATCGGCTTGGCTTGGCTTGGCTTGGCTTTGTGTGGTTCGTAGCTCTCTCGGGTCAGCTGCGAACTTAAATTCGGCTAAAGCAAAAGAGAGATAGAGATGAGGAGGTTGGTGTGGAGCCCGCAGTAGAGTTATAAACGGGGTTGTAAAGTTCACGGACCGGCTCGTGGGGCCCATCATCATCAAGCCCGGACTCATCGGCCGCATAAACACAAAAAATAATAATAATTAAAAAGAAAAAAAAAAGAAAAAAAGAAAGGGCCCCACTTAACTCCAGTTAAACAGCAGGATTCTTGGTCTGGTCTGGCCCCACATCATTCTAATGTTTCCTCGTGGTCCCACCCCCACGGTTATTTAATTTAATTTTCTCTCATTATTATTATTATGAAATTTATGGCATTATCTACCTCCTTAAATGACGGAATTACCCTGCAAATGTAGTTATAATTAAGAGTCAACGTAGGGGCCTGATGGGGATTTTCAACGGAGTGAAAGAATATGGAGGGGCCCGTTTTGAAGAGATGAGCAGCTGATGTGAGTGCCTGTGACTGAGAGTGTCTCAATAATGTTTCATGATCACAGTGCCTAACTCAACCAATCTCACCCCACGCTTTCATAATATTTAATTTCCCAAAAATCGAGGAAAACAATTTTATTTTTTAAATTAAATGATAAAGTTTTTAAAAATATATAAACTATTTATCGAAATTTTTCTACGTCACCAGAGTTTTGAATATGAAGAAGAGATTATTCGGTCGTTGAATAAATGTATTTATACCCGTCATTTGGAGTTTTCCTATTCCCTTCATGAATTAAGTTAAAAATAAACTAAATTAGACAGAACTAGTATTCTAAGTAGAAGGTTAGGTTATGGACGGTTGCAACCCAATTCCCTCTCTTTCCTTCTACTCCGTCTTAGGTTTGTTCCCATTGAATCGTTTTCTGATAACCACGTACGGGAGGCTCTTCTTAAACTTGGTATAGAGAACTGATATGAACCAAAAGACATCAATCATACAATATACTTCAATGAAGATGTGAAGAAAAGGTTGTCAAAATTATCAAAAGATGTTTCAATTCATGCCACATTGAAGAAGAATGAAGTTTGATTGTTATAAATTTTGGGTGGGTTACAATTTAGAGTTATTGTATTTCATTTATGTATTTTAAGACTTTATTTACTGGTTACAATTACATAATGGTTAATTATGGCCATTAAGTATGAATGTTACTAACTCTTGGAATGACTTTAATAGTTTCATTTTGAGGCTATATAAAGCCATGTATGTTGTATGTGTAAGGGACTTGGAAAAATATAGTAAAAAGAAGCATTTGTGCTCTTCTATAGCCAATGGCTAAGTTTCTTTGCAATTCTATGTAGTTTAGGTTGCATCTAGAATCATTCAAGCTCGACATGATCAATCTTGCTTGTGGAGTGATTCGAATCTCATGGAAGTGTTCTTGCCTTGAGATATTTGATCAACAAGAATCATTCAAGCTAGACATGATCGATCTTGCTTGTGGAGTGATTCGAATCTCAAACAATGTTCTTGCCTTGAGATATTCGATCAACAAGGTAATCCGAATCTTACTCCCCTTGTAGTGGTTCTTTTTCTTATCAAGAACTCTATTAATCACGATAAAATAAAGAGGTTAGACTCTCGTAACAAAGGTGGTAGATTTTGTTTAATTTTTTAAATTTTCTAATTTTTTTTCTTTTTAATTTTATATTTTTCATTTATTTTTCTTTTCCAATCCATCGTATTAAGAATGTGTTTATATATATATATATATATATAAAGGAATTAATTCAACAATGTATTAAAAAATTAATTGAAAATCTTAAATTAAAAAAAAAAAAAAACTAAAACATGTGTTTATCTGTAAATAACTGGTTTAGAAACAAAAGTTATTTGAAGAAAAGCAAAATAAAGTGCGTAAAAAGAGATTTTTTAAAAAAGGTGAGGGATAGAGATGTCAATAAAATCAGTAAAAAAAAAAAAAACTTTTAATATTTTTTTTATAGGCATCTTAATTTTAATTATAATTAATGCTTTTAACTTTAAATTTATTAATAAATTCTTTTTTTTTAATGTATAAATGTTATAGTACCCCTACTTTACATGATATCATACAATAATTCAGTTCTAAAGTATTATTTGAAATTTTTAATTATCAAATATGAATATAAAGACTTTCATTATTCATTAATAAAAGGCATTGACTTTGACTATATCCATCCATTGAAATCTTCTCTACATAGAATTTATGGGTTTATATTCAAAATATGACTTTCGTTAATTAAATTAACATAAAATATTATTTTTAATTAAAAGTAAATATATCTATTTAATTCTCGAGGATTTATCTAATTTTTATACGCACTTACCATAACCCTACCCCTACCGCTCGTTTCATATTAAAAAAAAGTTTTAAATTGTAAATAAATTTTTATTTTGGTACTTATCTCTTGAAAAATGCTATTTATTATGATGGTGACATGGCACCAAGAAATGTCAAGAACCTCATAGCTAATGGATTGTTGAAGGTTACACTTTAACTCAATTTCCTCTTTTATTTTATAGTATTTATTTTTAATAATAGCTAAGCTAAATGATTTGGTCTTTGTTAATTATTGGTTTAATTGTGGGCCCATGCCCATTTTCTTCCTTGATTACCTTACAATAATTACTTGGTTTTATAACTTAATTTTAATTAGCTTCCCTTTCTCTTTATTGATTAATATGTTTTTGGGGAATATTAGGTTAATGGGTTTATTTGGGATAACAACATCATGGCTCCAATTTAATGGCGTATTAAAATTGAATTAGTTCATCGGTTCATATCTAATCATGTTAAATCACGATTCGAAATTTGATAACCTCGACATTCCTTTACATCATTTGTTACATAGTCATGTTACCTACTCTAGATTATCTCTACCGACCAACATGAGTCATTTCAGTATGTTTTGTTCTCATTCACATGCATCTCAGGAAAATTCATTTTATTTTAGTGTCTAAATATAAGCTATTTAAAATAACTTTTATCTTAGAATAAAATAAAGTGTAAAGGATACCTTTTTATCTCGAGGCAACAAAATATTTATATAATATATACTAAGAATAATTGAGCAAAAATGTTGACACTATTACTTCAAAGTAGGTCTAGGAGACAGATGGAATCATATTTAAAACTTTAATCGACGAGGGGGTGGCCTACCAAAAGAAAAGTTAATGAAATATATTAAACTTTAGTCTTAATCTATAAAAAAAATTAATATAAACTTTGAGCTTGATATAGAACCCAACCACTTCATCTTGTCCATTAATGATATGATTTAATCATAGGTAAGCAAAAAAAAGTATATAAAATAAGGTTTTTTATTTTGTTTTTTTTTTTTAAGGGAGAGATAAATCTAGTTAGGGTTATAAGGTGGATAAATAATTATTGAAAATTTTCCTTTTTCTTAAAAAAAAAAATCACGATCAATAATCATGTCTTTATGTCATCCATTTTTATTGATAAAAATATAGTAAATTAAAGCAACTAAAGATATTTATTACAAATACTAATTAAATTTAAATATTAGGTAAATTAACTCGGTAATTGTTAAGGGAAAGAGATTGAGAATCTTTTTAAAAGGGTAAAAAAAAAAAAAAAAGTAATTTTCATGGGTCCACGTAAAAGGTGGGTCCTCCACGTAAGGGGCACACGTAACGTCCTTTTCATAGGGAACCCGTTACGTGGAAGGATTCGATTGGAGAATGAGAAAGCAACTCTAAATTAATCAAACCACCGCACCCAATTGCATTACTCAAATTTCAAACAGTGGACCCCAAATTGACCAGCTGGGACTTGATTGCATCCACGTCAGACTCTTTCCTTTTGATTATTAGGTTTTTTTAATTTTTTTTAATGATGACGTTGTATAGGCCTTGACAAATGGCAGTTGGGGCCCACGAAAAGGGGTTTTTGGTAATGACACGACACCATTTCTCTCCACAAAACCCAGTGCAAAAGTCTCCCTGTGTGCTCGATCAGCCAAAGCTTCATAAAGGCCGAAACCCATGGGCCATAATATATATATATATATATATATATATATATATATATATATATATATATATATATATATATTTGGCTTTTTAATTATCAGGGCTAAAATTGTAATTTTGCATCATCGTCATCGTTAATGTAAGTTTCATCTTGCTCTCATTATTTTTAGTTGATAACGTTTCATTAAAATAAGATTAGATTTACCGAATTAAATTGAGTTGTTTTATTAAATAAATTTAGGATGTGATTAAAAAAAAGACTAATAATAATAAAATAAAATTATTTTTAACTTACGGCTAATTTTTTATTTTCATTCTTAGTCATAATTATTACATTGAAAAGATGAGAGGAAATGAAGAAATCAGAGATAGTGACAGCTGGCAACTTGCTTACTTGGACAAATACACCTAGATCCATTTGATCCAATAATAATAAATAAATAAAAGAAAATATGGTGTATTTTTGCAATTGACTAAATTAAAATGACCAGTAATTGCAAATTGTTGATTTAGCCTTGACCTACAAATATTGAACCATCAAGCTATATATTGCCCCCATCTAATTATTATTTAATATACTATTATTTATTTTTTTTCCTAAAAATATTTCTAAATTTTTTAAATTTTCAATAATATCTTACAATTTTTTTTTTTTTTAAAAAAAAACTCTCTAAAATACTCTTCATTTAAAAAAATAAAAAATAAAAAATAAAAAAAATAAAAAAAAGACTCGTGATAATATTTTGTTACAATAATACCCTCCAACTTTAAAAAAAAAAATTAAAAAATACCCATATTTTAAAAAAAAGAATTAATACTTTTTATTTAATAAGTTATTTTGATAATTTTATATAAATATAAAAATACCCTTCAACTTTTATGGGTTTCTCTTAATAGATTTTTTTTAAAAAAAATTGGGATAATAAGTTATTTTGATAATTCTATATATTATTCACTTATTTATTATCCATACGTTTGCTTTAATTACAATAATGAAATTAATTAGCGAAAAAAATAAAAAAAATAAAATACCAAAAATTAAAAATCTGATTTAACTTCAATATAAATGTATTTCTGTTAGGACATAAGAACACAAAATAAATTATATGAATGAATTGTATTAAAAATAATGGTATAATTTTTTTATTGTATAAATTGGAAAAGGGTGTTTTAAATTATTTTAAAATTATGATTTGAAAATGAGACCAGACAAGAATTTAATATGTAATTATCCATTAAGAAAAGCATCTCTCTTTCACAAAATAAATAAATAAAGTAGTAAAGTAATAAAGTAATGTCTCTCTCCCTCCACTTGCGTTTATTTATTTATTTTTCCATTTCTAAAAAATTTGCATTAAATATTAAAATATTAAATTATGCAATTATTTCTTTTGTCGTCTAATCACCAAATTCATTAACTTTATGCCGTGCATATATATATATATATATATATATATATATATATATATATATGTATATTATATTATATTGTTTTTTTTTTCTTTTTTTAGTAGGCATAAGTGATAGCACATAAAAAAGTGATATCTTTAAGCTCTATTTTATGTTACTTTATGGCTTAATTGTATAGTTTTTTTTGTTGTATTTATTTATTTGCTAGAAATCGAGCCTTCGAAGAAAAATAAAGTTTTTATAAGAATATTGGTGAAAAATGAGTTAATGGATCGTCATTTAGAGTAGCCAAGACGAAGAAAATAAGTGATCAAATTATAAATCACGAGTCTAAAGAGTCGAGGTGTATTCAAATTTTTGTAGTCTATTTTAATTTTTTGTATATTCAAAAAATTTAAAAATTAATCGATGCATTATATATAAATTGAATTTTATCCCGTAAAAGACTAAGTTTTAATATATAATATATATATATATTTTTTTTATAAGTTTATGAATAAAAAAAAAAGTGTAAATATTTAAGAAAAAATATAAATACAAATAGAGTCAACTATTTGTCAAACGGTTAAGGGTATTTTCGGTATTCAAAATTTCTTCCCGCCATTTGTACCCTCAAATGATCGTCTTAAAAAGGGAGTGTTATCATTTAAAACCGGAACGACTGAAGAAGAAATCTCCGATTGTTCGATCTTTGTAATCTTCTTTACAACTCCGAACTGCAACAATGGCGGCGATAATTAGCGTCGTCGTCTCGCTAATTGTACTTCTCACGGCTGTTAGGGTGTTTGCAATGTCGCCGCCGACCGGATGCGCCACCTGAGAGCTGCTCTTGCTCTCGCCATGTTTGCCTTACATCTCTGCTTCGCGGATCCGATACGGTTCCTTCCGCTTGCTGTGAGCGGTCTCCTCCGCCTACGATTCCATTCGGCGGCATTTGCCTCTGTTACTTTCGTTGAGGACCTCAGATTTGGGGCTTTCCGTTGAATAGTACGAAGCTGATCGCTCTGTCTTCGTTTTTTTTTTCCTCTCAATGGCGGAATGTATTTGGAGAAGAATAATTCTCTAGACTCGCTTTGTGCTGGTATGAATTCGTTCTTTATTCATGACTTGAATTCCTTGATTCCAGGAATTCAAGAACCTGGTAATTCTTCTTATTAATATGCATTTCATCAATCTGAATCTTCAGGAAATTATGTTTATAGAATCTAAGAACATGCAACCGTAAAATAATAATAATAATTAATTAAATCTTCTCTTCATCGAGAAATCATCACTTGCTTGTCTCCTGCTCTCCAGTTGGATTTCTCGCAGAGATTTGAAAACGACAACTGATGAAGCCTTAAACATAAGCATGAAATTTTCTACCTTCAACGGGAAAGACTAGAAACAAAAGCACTCTTAAATTAACAGTAGAGTATATAAACAATGTTTCCAAGACATCTACAAAGATCTAAGACAAAAATAAGCAAGAAAGTATCTCTCTCCACTTCCTTTCTTGACTTGAAGCAAAAATTACTTCCAACCATCAGACCATTCATCTTCATTAACAACTGGTCTCGAAAATTCCATCTCCGGCAGATCTTGATTCTGGTCAGCTCCTTCAAATCCTGAACTTTGTCCCTCATGATTCTTCCCTGCTCCTTCAAATTCTGAACATGGTCCCTCTTCGTTATTGCATGGATGTTCCTCATCTGTGGGATCCTGCCTTTCAGGGAGGGAGCAACCTTGATATGAATCTTTGTCAACACACTGCCATAATAGCTTGCTCCAATACACATCCTGCCAAAACAACCAAGTCCTGCCATTAAGCATTTTTCACATTTGCTTCAAAGTCTGGAAATCGTTATGTTCAAGTTATCTTCTTAGTTATTGCAGAGACCCTAAGGCACTTCACAACGCTACATCTGCTAAAAGTTACTAAACTTGAGGGGAATGTGCCTATTATGAATAAATTTAAGAGTACACCATCCCTTAGCTCCAGTAAATATTAGTCTAAGGATTCTGCCCGTCAAAATTTTAGGTACAGAAAGTTCAGGTCACTAGAGATAATATTTCAATAAGGAACAAATTTTATCAACAGTATTTTACAAGAATGAACAACATTTACTAAAGTAACAAAAGTCACCTGATAGATTATATGGGGATTGCCAATTATAACCAGAAGAGATATCGCCCGGGTAATAGCCACATTAAACCTTCTTGGATTACTTAAAAACCCCAAACAGTAGGTTCTGTCAAACTCGTTATGTTTGATCGTTGATCGAACAGTAGAAACAATAATCACTTGCTTCTCTTGTCCTTGAAACTGTTCTACACTACCGACCTTTATATCAACCATATCAAGGCTATCAAGGGCTTTCCTTATTTTAATCACTTGTTGTCGATAGGGTGTTATGACCCCAATATTTTCGTCGACCAGATTTCCACCAGCAGTCAGTTTCTTTATAACCTCTACCACCTTGCTAACCTCAATTCGGTTGAACCATGATGGATTGTTGCCTTCCCTCTCATCACAACCTTGGATACCAAAGAAAAGAACAGGAAACTCCTTACTAGGAAGTGCTTCAAAGATATCTGCTGAATCCGTGAGGAAACTTTTTTCATCTTGACATGCAATTAATTCACCACCATAGAACAATGTAGAAGGAAGATGTAAGATATCCGGATGACATCTATAGTTTCTCAATAACTTTATTACATAGTTTTCATCCCCAGTGCAGTAATATTCACATTCAAAAAGCCTTTCCAAATATGATTTACTCAATCCATAAATTTCTGCTTCTTTAGAGTAAATCACTGGACCTAATTGCATGGGATCACCAGCAAGAACGACGACTGTTTTCCTAAGACAGAGGTTGGATATAGGAATTATCGTTTCTGGCTCTGAAGCTTGGCCAGCCTCATCCAAGAAAATGTGAGAGAAGTGGCCACGCTTTATATCTTCTGCATAAAGAAGGGAAGTACTTGTATAAGTTGACACAATAATCCTATAGCGCACAAGGGCACTGTGTGGAGGACACTTGAAAATTTGCTCATCAAAGAAACAAAAACGAAGGTGATCAGGCTTGATTTCCTCATATTGCCGTGAGCTTGCATTAAGCCTGAAAACATCATTATCACGAATTTCAACACCCTCCTCACTGAGGAGTTTCTCCAGTATGTGGTCCGCAGCACTATTTGAAGGAGCACAAACAAGAATACGAGCATTCTTTCTAGTTGTGTAGAGTTGAAGGATAGCTTCCACCAAGGTCTGAGTCTTACCAGTACCAGGAGGTCCATGAACTAAATAAGGTGGTGCTCCTCTGCAACCAAGGATCATCTGAACACAACGCATTTGTTCCTCATTGATATTTTGATTTATCGGCACCAGTGGATTAGTCTTGATAACTCTTCTATCCGAAAACTCATATGGGAATAGAAACTCCTTTGCCAAACTATCTGCAGCATCAATAGCCTGATAGAACCTCCTCATGTTAATTCTGTTATAGGTAAACTGGACATTGTATAGATTGAAGTCTCTGTGGTTAACGTGAAATTCTGGAGCAAATTTTAGGTAAACCTCATCAGCCTCGACGTGATGAATATAGCCCTGCACAATTCTGGAATTGATTATGGAACATGGACAAGGACATTCTGAATATTAAACCACAAATTACAGAAAAGATTGAACGAGCACGTCTAAACATGATTGCATACACAAAGGAGGAGTAGACAACTCAATATTAATGCAGACCTAGACCTGATAAGCGTTAACCGTGTCATTTGCATGTCCAGAAGGCATCTTGGCAAGAATAAAGTCTCCATGGACAAGTGAAGGCCTTCTCTCAGCAAGCCCTGGAACCTCAAGGGACAAAAAATGATATCCCTTTCTTTTCATAGTTACACGTTCCATATCGTAAGCTCTCATGTCTTCCTGCAGGCAATAACGGACCAAATTTCATATAATCTCAAACAGAAATGTGTAAATACATTCATAACCTCATTTATTTACCTCCAATTGTATTTCTTCCATGTTCAACAATGTCATAAAGTAGGGAACGTAGGTATCTCTTTTAAGTCCTTCCCTAACAGCACTAGGAGTCTCCTTTCTGTTAAGTTCATCTCTAATTCTTCTTGGGATATCATAATGGGGAAGAAAATTTTTGAATCCTCGACCTTGCGTTCTTATGGGACGTGAGCCAGGAATATAAGAGTCTGCTACCTCATGCCTCTTTTTTCTATCTCTTGAATACGGCTTCCTAGAAGCCAATGACTGGGAAATCTTATCATCTGCTAACAGAAAAGAAACGCGTTCTATTCTCTCATTGCCAACATCAAAATGCACAACGGTTGTGTGCAAGCCAATTTCTTTCGGTTTGCAAGACAGCCATACAGTAAGAGTCTCGTCTGGATGGATCATTCTATCCTCCAACGAAAAGGACTCCAAAAAAGCTTGTACAACTTCGATGTTCGCATTTGCCGAAGGGGGCTCCATTAGAGAGAGCGTAAACGAGTTCTCGGGATTGGATGCATAAATATTAACAGCCCATAGGTCCACCGATTCATCGGTGGTGTTCTTGATCGTAATTGCATCTGCCACTGATTCTCCTACAAAAACTGATTGTGGTTTGCCATTCACAAAAGCAAATGGCACTGAAATGATAATTGGACCTTCCTCAATAGGATTGTAGCTGCAAACAGATTTATCATCTTCATAGTCGATGTAGGAAATCTCTCCTCTGTCTTTGATGACAGAACAATCATCACCCCAATTATCACCAATGGTACCCATTGTCAAGAGGAAACTGACAGGAGAAAAGGGAAATCATAAGATTTAAACTCCTCACTCACGAATTTCTCTTCCAAGTTCAAATACTCAATAGAGAATGATACTTGAAATGGTAACATAAAACACAACACCCCATCAAAATCGAAGAATCAAACAAGAATCATCCACCAAAATCCCAGAAATCCGGATCAAGGAGTCAAAACACCCAATACAGAACAGATTAAACCATCCATTCTCCAAAATTAAGCAAGACCCAGATAAGAAGAACAACCAAAATCCAAAAAACATACGAAACTTGGAGACGCCAAAATTGAGAAAGCAACAAAATCCAGAAATAACGTATGAACAAAGTCAGTGAATAAGAAAAGTAGCTAGGAAAGACGGAGACGGAGAAAGCTCACTTTTGATCGAAGCTTATAAACCAGCAGAGACTCTGGAAGGGAATGTTGGGGCTCCAGTTCACTGCAGAATGCAGTAGAGAAGTAGAGATTGAGTGTTAAAATGGGGTCATCACTCAAAATAATGATGCTTTCCGGATCACCGCTAATACAAACCTTCACGATAATTGTGTAAACGTAAATTCTACACACTAAACCTAATTATTTAGGAAACGGAGTTTGGTTCACCAAGAATGTCTTTAGAGATCGTACTGCGTCCGTTAGCAGTCAAGTGAGTCTTATTTAGTGCCCCAATTCCTAGCGTTCCCATATTTTCCCTTCTTTTTTTTTTTTTTTTAATTTATTCATGATTAAGTAAATAAACCCATTTCCTAGGGTATAATTTTATTAACTTTTTTTTTATTAAAATATCAAACTACTAACAAATTTAAACTCTAAATGTAACGGCCCAAGTCCACGGCTAGTCGATACGGTCCTTTTTTAGCTTGGGTTTTTCCTTTTTGGGCTTCTCTCAAAGTTTTTAAAACTTTTAAAAAGATTGTTTCGTTCTCCTCTTCAATCGAACTGAGATCTCACAATCAACCCTTTTCCCTCCCCCCCTCGGAACCCAACGTTCTTGCTGATATTTGTTTCTTTCTCCAATCGATATGGGACACCCCAATCCACCCCTTTTGGGCCCAGCATTCTTGCTGGCACATCGTCTCGTGTCCACCCTCCTTTGGAGCTCAGCCTCCTTGTTGGCACATCGCCCGATGTCTGTCTCTCATACCATTTGTAACAGTTCAAGCACACCGGTCTCTTTAGACTTTTTGCTAGGGAGAGGTTGCACACCGTTCTCTTTAGACTTTTTGTTAGGGAGAGATTTCCACTCTTATAAGGATTGTTTCGTTCTCTCCCATAACTAACGTGGGATCATATAATATTTGTGAGTATTTAAGTTTGGAAGTTTTGTCTCATTTTTTTATCATAATTTAGCATAATTCTTCACTTAATGGACACCTTTGGAAGTATATGGACCGAAACACACGTTTTGGAAGTGCAATGACAAAAATTTATGAGCCAAAATACTAGTGATCCATTTAACTAAATTGAACCTGTTCAACAAATAGAGGCAACTCAAATGACAGCACAAGCCACTAACAAAGATCGATGAACCATGCTTCAGCAGGAAATAAGATTTGTATACAAAACAGAGAAAAAGACTGCAACAATGTCAAACTCCTCAGACTGGAAGTGCTCCAGTGTCTTTAATGGATTGACGCCATGCAACCTCCCTTGCCCCATCCTTGTCTACAATCTTGATCACAAAGTTTGGTGGAGCCACAACCAGCCTTGAACGTATCTCCACGATGCACTTATCCACCAACTCGATCGCCTCATCCACTGACATGCCGCTATGGTAATGTCTGTCCATCATAGAGAGTGAAAAGTAGGATCCATAACCAAAAGCACCTTTCTCAACCTTGTGAAGTGTTGCAATGTAGTCGATGTAGTAAAGCGATGGGCCACTCTCCTTATCGTACCCAGCCAGGAGGATATTTACAGAGTATGGATTCTGAAAATAAAAGATTCAGTTAGTTCAGTAAGAACCAATAGTCGCAGTTGCCTAACAAGAACAAAATGAACTCAGAAGAGATGCCTTGAAAGAGAGACACATCTCTAGACATTCAAATCCACAATGCATGCTTCTTGGTCTAGATGTAAGGATTGTATGAGATCCCACATCGGTTGGGGAGGAGAACAAAACACCTTTTATAAGGACGTGGAAACCTCTCTCTAGCATATGTGTTTTAAAGACCTTGAGGGAAAGCCCAAAAATGACAACATATGCTAGCGGTGGGCCAGACACCGGGCGATGTGCCAGCAAGGAGACTGTTCCCCAAAGGGGGTAGACATGAGGCGGTGTGCCATTAAGGACGCTGGCCCCAAAGGGGGTGGATTTGGTGGGGTTCCCACATTGATTGGAGAAAAGAACGAATGCTAGCAAAGACGTTGGGCCCTGGGGTGGATTGTGAGATACCGCATCGGGTTGGGGAGGAGAACGAAACATCCTTTATAGGAATGTGGAAAAAGTCCTTCCTAGTAGAAGCGTTTTAAAAATCTTGAAGGAAAGCGCAGAAATGAGTAGTGCCAATTAAGAAGCATCATTGTGAGAAAGAGAGGTGCTTCAAAAGCTAATGGATTTTAGTCATAGGTAATCGAATTAGAGTATCCAAGATGATCATATGGCATAGCAGTGCATAAGAACATCATTTAGTCCACCTATCATCATCAAGTAGCCATGCCCGTAGGTACGAGAACAGCGCAGTCTATACCTGACCTGCTCCTAACACTTCTTACTATGGGGCAAAATCAATCGTCTTAATGGCAATGCAGAAACACGAAATTAATAAGAGTCTAGTCCAACCTATACACCGCCAAATCTTGCTACTCGTTACACTTGTACATTATGTATGTTATGAGAAATCAACAAGAACAGCTACCCACTAGCATGCATATCTGGACATCTTATTAGGGAAAAAGGTAAGGATGCTAGAATTTTCTTTTTAACCAGAGTAAGAACCAACTTGTAACCGTTCAAACCCACCATTAACGGATATTGTATGCTTTGTTCTGCTATGTATCGCTGTCAATCTCACGGTTTTAAACTGCGTCTAATAGGGAGAGGTTTTCACACCCTTATAAGGAATACTTTGTTTCCTTCTCCAAAGTTGATTATGAATTTGAAACTCTGGGCCACCCAGAGACAATAAGACCAGAACTATAGTATTGTGGTACCCGGACAAGTAGATCCCATCCCATATAACCCAGATTTGATCGAAAGAAGATAAAAGTAGAAATGGATCTCCAAATACCCTAATAAAAACATTTCAAATCATCAGAAAAACAAAGCACTGATTATGTACCTTTCTCAAGGCGGTGGCGAGCTCACCTCGGGTAAAATTAGCAGCAGCAGCAGTCGTCAAGGGGATCCCATTTCGGAACTGATACAACGAAACATTCTTCTGAATGTACTCAGTGAACTGAACCCTACAAAGACACAAGCGGAAAGAAAAAAAGGATAAGAACCCCAGATTTCTGAGAAAACAAAAACATAAGTAAAAGCTCTGTAAATCGATCGACCTGTCACCAGGCTCGCCGCTAGCGGCGACGAGCTTGTGAGAGTCGAGAACCATAATCTTGTCCTCGTCGGATTTATGAACCAAGATGCTGTGTACCGCCGAAGAATCGGCAGCAACAATGGCGAAACCATTACCCACTAACCCGAAAACACATTCCATAATCTTGTTCTTGAGAATCCTCCACTCTTCGATCCTTCCCTCTCTTCCGATCGTGTGCTCTAAACAAAGTGGCACCAACAGCGACTTGAGCAACCCGTTTAGAGCATGGGCCTCTAAGCCCAATTCACGTTTAGAGTATGTGGGTTACAACTTGCCTGTTACAAGCCATTCACAAAAACACGCAAATTCTCTAATCTTTTAGTTTGATAATATTGGTCATTGGTCAAAGCTTACCATATATTTTATTACAACATGTGATTATCCACCTAATCTTCCTTAAGATAATCTTCTTGTCTTTTTGTAGCTCATCCATTTAAAGTGCTTCATTATTCCTTTCTATTCCTATATTTTCAAAACACTTCTCTTTTTCTTGTTGGAGTTGAATAGAAGCATTAGATATGAGTTTGAAAACAAGTTATTCAAGAGTAACCATACATAATCTTTGCTTTCTTAGAGAAATAAGAGAACCTTTAACCTAGTTTGACAAATCTTATGGTTACAAGTAGAATACATATAACCTAAACCAATGAATTATAAAATGGAATTGTGTCTGATAAGTATCAGGAAAGACTAAATGAACCCATTACATTAGTCCTAAACTTTATGATAAAATCAAGGGGAAATAGGTACCAATGTTTTGGCATCATAGGCAAGTCAAATTGATACCCAGATCGTCAGAGGTTGAGGTGTCAGTAATGGCTAAGAAGGAAGAGGATATGGCCTGGACTTCTTCACAGTTCACTGGGTCCATTCACTCTTGAGTTTAGATTCGTGAGAGAGGGGAAGGAGGGTATGGACTGCAGTATCAATTTCCGGCCGATTCGAGTCGATGGCAGTGGCCGGAAGTCGCCCTGTGGTGGAGGTAAAGTGATCCTCTTACTGTTGGGAGAAACACTCTTAACAACACCTGTGCTGGAAGAGCAACCATTACAGATGGTTTCTGGCATCACATCTGCACTGGGGGTTTTCTCAAACTTGGTCTCTGTTTGAATGATGCCTTGCTTCTCGAGTTTGAATCGAACACTCAATCGATACGAGGATTCGTCGTCAATGAAAGATGGAAGTTTCCTCTTCAATTGGAATGGTAGTGGAATCAATGATCTGAAAGGAACAGCATTTTTGTTAATGGTCATGAATTTTAATAAGATCAATAATAGTTTGTGTTTACCTGCATCGTCCTAGCGGTGTCGAGGGAACAGCACTGTTAGAGTTCTGCTGGTCTTCATCTTTCTGTACTTCTGCATTTTTTAGGCAATGTTCTCTTCCTTCTTCCTCTTGTTTAGTGTCAGTTTCTATTACAGCTGATTCTGGAAATCAAAGAGATTAGCATATGTAAAGAAACAAAAATTCCAAGCAAGGACGTTGTTCAATAAGAATTAACAAGTATTGCCTTTTTGTAAGATGGAGCATCGGTTGGAGAGGAGAATAAAGCAATATGGGTGTAGAAACTTGGGACGCATTCTAAAATCGTGAGAAAAAGTCTTAAAGGGAAAGCCGAAAGAGGACAATATCTGTTAGTAGCGGACTTGGGCTGTTACAAATGGTAGCATTCCTTATGAGGGTGTAAAAACCTCTCCCTAGTGGACGCGTTTTAAAACCTTGAGGGGAAGCCTAGAAGGAAAAGTCCAAATAAGACAATATCTACTGGTGGTGGACTTGGACTGTTACAAATGGTATCAGAACTAGACACCAGACGGTGTACTAGTGAGGATGCTGACCCCCAAGTGGGTGGATTGTGAGATCCCACTCGGTTGGAAAAGGGGAAGAATCATTCTTTATAAGAGTGTGAAAAGCAATTCCTAGAATGCGTTTTAAAACTTTGAGGGGAAGCTCAGGCTCTTGGGTCATAGCCAGCTAGTTTTGAGGAGGAAATACGTGGAAAGAAATTGGTAATCAAAAGAAGGGTTATAGGATGGATTGATAGCAACCGAGTTAAGTTTTTCAAGAAAGAACAAATACTTGGCTACATAATTAGGAAAAACTATTGTCTCTTCGAGGAAGGTTGTAAAAAATGCAGCGAATAGAACTAGATGATCAATGGAAGTATTGACGACAGATATGTATGATCAAAATCCATATCAAAACTCACCATCTTTTCTTCCAAATGCGTTTTTACAACCTTCACATCTGCAGTTGATGGAACACCCAACACCGCCCTTGTTCAAGAACAAAAGCACCAAGATAATTTCAGATATGAAGTGCAACACACCAGAGAAGAAGAACTTGACAAAGGGAAGGGATGCAATCAAATCACCTGATAGCATTCACAGTATTTTTTCAAGCAACTTGATTTCTTACAGTTGCATCCTCGTTTATGCCTCGCTGAAGCTGGAGTCTTGTTCGAATCATCCTACAAGATAACTTATCAAGTTCAAACTACAAGCCAAGTGCAGATAAATTCCTCAACGAAGTGGCATAATATCTAACCCCAAGTTCAGAAAAAGAATCCGAGTTCATGATCACTTTAGGAGCAAACGCAAGTGGATTGCGAGACTCGATCTGTCTACGAGTCTCAAGAACCATGGCTTCGTGTATCGGTTGGTTGAAACACTCTTGACATGAACATGGATCAATGCAGTACACACCAGCAGCAAAGCATTCACAATAGCTGAAGAAAATTACAGATTTAGATTCAATACTACTCTTTTAAATGCAGCATAAACTGTTCCAACGTTTCATTAGAAACTTAAACTAAACCATCATCGCAAGGCCTAATAATAGTAGAGTTTGCCTAATTTCAATGGATTGCAGCCCTTCAGGCATAGCAAACACAGATATCTCAGCATCAAGAATGGTGTTAGCAATGGCATTATTACTTACAGCTTCAAACACTTAGATTTCTTACAGTTACAACGTTTGCACGCACCAATTTCAGCATTTTCCATCAATGTCCTACAAATCCATTCACAAATCATCAGCTACAACGAACAAGAAAATCAACATCAATCCAAATACTCAGAACGAAGAACAATCTTCCCAGTAGACATTCAAATCGAACATACCCATTCTTTTTAGGGTTGATGAGATTGAGATTTTCCCCATTCAGATTCGCAGGTTCATGAGAAGGGTTTTCAATTTCAGTAGCCGATGAAGTCATAAGAGGTTGATCTTGAACGGAATTAGGACTAGAAATAGATGCAGAGGAGCTGGGATGACTCAGATTCTCATGCTTCAAAGTCGCTGCAATAGCATTCAAGTGCAAACCGATTCCAGGCAGAGTGCATCGAAATGAAGAAGAAGAAGAAGAAGAGCCACGGATTGAACCATCGCCGCCCGCCGTCGCCGTCGCCGCCGTGTTGGGCGTTCCCGCCATTTCGAAATCTAGACATCGCCTCGGCATGTTCCCGCTCTGTAGGTTAAGGAGAGGCTACACAATCCCAAGTTGACAGCCACACTTTCCATTAGTACAGTCTTTTCTTCTAAAATAATAATAATTATTATTACTATTAATTTTTTATTTATGATTTAATAGAAATCTCAACTTTTTTTTTTATTTTTTAACTACAGAAATATAGACTTATTTTGACTAAAATAAAATTTTAAAATTTTAGACTAAAACAAAATAATAAACACACAAAAACCAAGATTTCATCAAAACCCAACACCATTTTTAATGAAAAAACAAGAACAAGAACAAAACTTAGTTGTCTTTGTTTAAAAATCGACCATTTAGTCAACATAATCGAGATTCATTCATGTAACGCTTAAGAACCATAATCTTCACCTTGTTTCCAAACGAATCACAATTCTCATCTTCGGCTTCATCACTCCCCAACTCCATAGCTTCTGAGCTAATCCCAACCTCACCGGCGTCGGGATTGACAGTCTCCGGCGGCTGCATTCCGGGAGTAGCAGCGTGGTCGGCGGTAGGAATTTCCGGCACGAAAATCTCGAGTAATTGATCCATTATTATAACGGCTCCTTCATTTGAAGAAACTGGTGGGGAGGATCTGGATGGGTTGGGAAAATTCGGCCTGAAGAAATGGGATTCCGTTTAGAAAAAACCCAGAAAAGTAAATTAAATGTAATGTAATTGTGAATGATTTTTACCTTTTGGGGGAAGTGAAAACTGGAAGGGAAGGGAAGGAAATGGAGTTGAATGTTTGCGTAATGTGGATGGATTTCAGAGGCTTGATGGGTGAGAGGCTGTTAATGAAGTTGAAAACGGGGGAATCCTGCAGTAAATTAGAGAATTTCGTTAAAAGTAAAATGCAACATTAACAAGTTCTTAACCAGATCTCGAAGCTTTTCTCTGCAAAAACTCGAATTCGAGAAGAATGCTAGAGTTACAGTAAAGAAGCAGAGGAAGAAGAAGAAGAGGGAAACCTCGAATTTGGGGAGAGGAGGAGGCGGCGGAGGGTTGGTGGTGGGTTTCTTCTTGGGAGTGGAGTCCATGGCGGAGCGGCGGGGGGCGGTCAGAAAGTGGAGGGAGAAAGAATGAGTGGGTTGGACATGGATGGATGAGAGAGGCAGAGGAGGCGTTGAAGATGAAATTTGAAGAGAGCGGGAAAGTGAAAGAGAAGGCCTCTGCAGTATATAGGTAACTTTCTTCTTCTTTTTTACTTTTTCTTTTATTTTAAAATAATACAACTTCTCTTTTTTCTGCTAATTATATATTTTTTTAAATCATCCCGTCTTTCTTTCGGGTAAATATGATGCTGATTTTCGTTCTAAAATTTTAATATATTTGGTCGGTGAGAATAGGTCGTTTAAGTCCCATGTATAGGTGATCTAGATGTTAAGTTTTTCTACAATGAGGATACTACGTCCGTGTGATATAGTCACTATGCTCCAATTCTTACTTTAGTATATAGATCAAAGTGACGTCGAGCCCCTTCGGAGAGTGAAACGAAGGAAATGTCTAACCTGACCTTATTATTAGGTCATCCTATTTCGGTGCATCGTTGGATTCTTAAGATATGTGCTAGAATAGGCCTTAGTTTATCTTTTTCACGAATTAGATGATTGTTGCTGAAATGACTTATAGGTCCCGATGAGATGGTACAAAATAGAATCTTATTGACACTCGTTTTTCTCTCCAATTAATGTAAGATTTCAAAATCCACCCCCTTTGAAGTCTAACTTCTTCACTAACACTCGTTTCTCTCTCCCAATCGATGTGGGATCTCACAATTCACCCCTTTAGGACACAACGACCCTCCTTGCACACCGCCCGATGTTTTGCTCTTATATATATCATTTGTAACATCTAAGCCCACCGATAACAGATATTGTTCGTTGTGGCATGTTACGTATCACCGCCAACTTCACAGTTTTTAAAATGCGTCTATTAGGGAGAAGTTTCCACACCCTTATAAATAATGTTACATTCTCCTCTCGAACTTGTGAGATTTTACAATCCACTTCCTTCGGGCCTAGCATCCTCGCTAGCATTGCTGACACTCATATCTTAGACAATATGGTGTCAAAGTCAATGATTTATTTATTTATTTATTTTTTGTTTGTTTTTGTTTAGATAGGTGGATGGGCGGGCAATAGATTTGAAAGCCAATTATGATATACTATATTAAAAAAATTGGTATGAAACGACGTGAAAGTAGACACGTGTAGGTTAGTCGTTCGTATGGTTTAAGGATAAGGGCACCTTAAACTCCACGGGCAGGCATCACGTGATCCACCACATTTATTTATTTATTTTTTTGCTGTCCACACCATTCATATTTACTCCCTCACGTGCTTTTTGTTGGGTCATTTTCAAGTGAATAATGGGCCCACTAAACTAACCCATTGGGCTTTATACAACGATTATAGCCCAACTAAAGTTTACGGGCCGGTTTCGTATTAACTTATAAATTCGGCCCATTTGGCCCATTCGAGACTATATTATACTAATTAATTTGATGTATCAACTCGTATACTGTACTAAATGTTGACGTAAAAATAATGAATTAAATTATTAATATTAAAATTTAAAAACTAAATTCTTACTCTTGTAAAAGTTTAATAATTAAAGAAAAATTCAGTTTAAAGTATTAGATAAGAGAATCCCACTTTTATTAGAAAATGGGTATGACACGTGTCAATACTTAATTGTCCACGACTAAATAAGACACGTGTTCATATTACAATACGTGAGTTTGCTTATGTAAGACTTGTTGGATTATTATTTAATTTTTTACTTTTAAAATTCAAACTTATTTTCCTACCATTTATATACCACAACTTTCACCTAAATTCTAAAAATAAAAATAATTTAATAGAAACTATTTTATCAAACTCTATCTTAAGAAAATAATCCTAAAATTTTTAATTTAAACTTTAAAAAAAATCTAAAATAATTAATACTCTGAACTTAAATTTTTTTATTAATGTCATTTTACATTTTTTAAAATATCTATAAAGTAGCATTAATAGCTTCAATTTTAATAAAAAAAAATGTTAATTTTTTATTATTATTAATGTATAGATGAAAATGTCGGTAGATATCTCATAAATTATTTTTTTTAATGTTATTTTTTAAACGTTTAATAATATTATTATTAAGACATTGAATTTTTTTTAAAAAATTAAAGATGTTTCTTAAAAAAAAATTAGGTTATTAAAGAAATTTTGAAAACTAAAGAGTATTTTTTAAAATTTAATGGTATTTTTGAGATAGTTTCCTTTCCAAACTCATACTAACTAAAAGTATTTTTATTTTTTTAATTTAAGGATAATTTTAGAGATTTTTATTTAAAATTTTTAATGTATTATTGAAACATTTAAAAAGTGAAAAAATAAAATTTATTGATATTTTTATTAATTTAATCCGGCAATAAATAACACAAAATAGAAAAAAAGAATTATTCAATAATAACAGGGGTATTTTGGTATTTTCATCTATGTACCTTCATGTATAAAAGATTCAACAAACCGCCCTCCAGTGCCATGTGTGTGCAGCAGTTGACAATCCGTTCTCACTTCTCTCTCGTCTATAATCAGATCAGAGCAATAGCCCACAGATTTTGCCCGAAATGGGCAGTTTCATGGCCGATTTTCTCCAGCAGTGCGGCGGCTGCAGCGTCATTGACGGTGGCTTTGCGACCGAACTGGAGCGCCACGGCGCCGATCTCAATGATCCTCTCTGGAGCGCTACATGTCTCATCAGTTCTCCCCACCTCATCCGCCGTGTATTTTTATCTCTCTCTCGATAATATTTGGAATTAATTTCATAAGATTTTCAATACATTATCGTGACAAGAAGATTCGAGTTTATAGCGTTTTCGAGAGATCAAATGAAATAGTGAATTCTAATTAGATTGCCCATTTTACCGACTTCTGTGTCGTCTCTTAGTACAGCACTTGAGAATTGACGGCGTCTTGTCTTTATCTTTATCTTAATCTAGGTTAAATTTAACGCCTGCTTCGAACAAGTTATTTATTTAATGATATAGAAATTTTAGAAAGAAAAATTAAAATTTATCAAGTTTTTAGATGTTTTTAAGAGTTCATAAAAAATAAAATTTAAAATTTGATGGACTTTTTTCAAAGTAACAAAAAATTGAAGTGGTGTTAAGGACAACAAGTTGTAAAGTTATTTTTGTTATTTATTATTTTGAATTATCTCAGAAGACTAATTTGCAATATGATATAGAAAGGTTTCCTGATTATCAACTGATTTACAGCTCAATAATGGCAGGTACATTTAGACTACCTTGATGCTGGGGCCAATATCATTTGCACAGCATCTTATCAGGTTCTTTTCTCCGCCCTGTTCTGTAGCTTCTAATTGTGTTTGGCTCATTTGATTCAACTTGTATCGCTGTTACTCAAGGTCTGAAATCTATGCAGGCTACAATTCAGGGTTTTGAGGCTAAAGGATTTTCTACGGCTGAGAGTGAAGATTTGGTAAGGAGAAGTGTTGAAATTGCACTTGAAGCACGTGATATCTATCTCCAACGGTGTACTAAGGATTCTTGGGATTTTCTTGGAAGTGGAGGGAGTTGGGGAAGGCCGATTCTGATAGCCGCCTCGATTGGCAGCTACGGGGCTTATTTGGCTGACGGTTCTGAATACAAGTGAGCAAAATCGTAACATACTGATTTAAGTTTGGACTTCAATGCTTGTATGAATTGTTATATCCTTTTTACAGTGGGAATTATGGTGATTCAGTGACTCTAGAAACACTGAAAGATTTTCACAGAAGAAGAGTGCAAGTTTTGGCTAATGCAGGTGCTGACTTACTCGCGTTCGAGACGATTCCGAACAAGTTGGAAGCTCAGGTATGAATTTGCAGTTGGAAACTGGTTGTCGTTGTTCACATTTATCTGTAATCCATAGGCAAGGTTCCGATTTTAACTCCTTTATGCTGCCTATGTGGAATTTTCAGGCATATACTGAGCTTCTTGATGAAGAGGGCATTCAAATTCCTGCCTGGTTTGCTTTCAACTCCAAGGATGGAATCAATGTGGTTAGTGGGGATTCATTATCTGACTGTGCCTCCATTGCGGATGCTTCAAAGCAAGTTGTTGCTGTTGGAATCAACTGTACTCCTCCCAGATATATTCATGGGCTAATCTTGTCAATTCAGAAGGTAAATTTTGACAATATCCTTCTGTGACTTTAGAGCTTGAAAGAGTTCCATATTAGGAAACCTTAAAGTTGGCTTAACTTCAACATTCTCATCATCTAAAGGGTAAATTTAAAAAAAATAAGATACTGTCCACAAATGTCATCTAAGCCATTTGGTGATTGCGAATTATTTTGTGTTGAAATGAATTCAATGCAACCTCTCTTCATGGACAATGGCAAGATTTATCACTGAACATTTGGGCATCTGCCTCTATACTATGCAATCTAGAAATGTATGTATAGTTGATCCTTTAATGACAAAGGCTTCTGCTAAGGCCCAATGATAAGATTAATGGACATAGGAGCTGATGGAACAAGCTAGCAGGCAGCTTAGTTATGAAAAAGAGAGCATAGAAACCAGTCCTCAGATATGTGTTCATAATCTAAGTGAATCTGGTAATCTAAATTGGCAGGTCACTTGCAAACCTATATTGGTATATCCAAACAGTGGGGAGACTTATGATGGTGAGACCAAACAGTGGTTGGTGAGTTTTCTACTTTAATCTTGAGCGAGTTAATTTAAAGTCACGATTTCTTTCCTTCACATCGACGTACAAGGAAGAGAAAACAAACAGAGAAAAACCCAATTCCCCCCTTCCCTATCCCACTCTTTCCGTAGATTAGCCATTCTCTCTTTTGTACTGTCTCTCCTCTGACAATTTCGTGGCTTCTTTTATTGTTGCAGAAATCTGATGGAATGATAGAGGAAGACTTTGTCTCATATGTAAGAAAGTGGAAGGAAGCTGGAGCCTCTCTGTTTGGTGGGTGTTGCAGGACAACTCCAAACACAATCAGAGGCATAGCAAAAGCGCTTTCCCTTAACACCGTTTGAGCTGTTTTCTATTTACAAGCTTTGGTATGTATTTTTCTCAATATCAGTTGTTCTCTGAATCGTGGTGGTCGTGCTAGAGATAGAAACAGTCATAGATGATTATGCGATTGACATCCTTCCAAACGAGATAAGATTGGTTCTTGTAAATATGGAAGAAAGCGAGTGGCTCATAAGTATAAACCCATCCCCCTGCCTCCCCCCAATATTTTTTGAGATTAATAATGATATGGTTGGAATACTTGATTCAGCTCGGGATATTTTATCGTGTTGAGTAATTATTTAATCTAAAGATAAGATTTGTTGTTAGGCATTACATAATATCCTAAATACTCTAGATTCTCAAATGCTAAATATATATTTTTTTTCCTTTCTTTCAGACTTTGATCTTACAGCGTTTTCAAGATGCAATAATTTTGAAACTGATAGTGATGGATGGTTCCATTGCAAACCACCAAATACAAAACTCGGGTTCCTTCCCAAAACTAGAAAGGGAAGAAGCTTGAAGACAAAAGCAAGAACTCAATTCCAAGTGTGGAGCGGATATGAAGATATATACCAATCTTGTACTGCTCCTACACTCACTGTCTCACTAAATCTCTAGGATTTGGGTTTAGATTCTCTAAGAGGGAAAAATAAGAGCTAATGTTGTCGGGTTCTGTAACAAATATCATTTGATGGCCATCTCTGGTTGTCTTTTTGGTGGAGCCAACAGGTTTGCATCTGTGTTGGAATCCTCTGTTTTTACCATGTACTGTATCAAAGAGTAAGTTATGGATTCTACGACTTATTTGGAGCAACTAGCCTTTTTCTGGATCAACTAGACTTTTTCAATGAACAAAGTTTGGAAACCGTATTTTTTTAGTACATGACATGTCATAAAGGTTTGATATATATCCTACTCTTTTTGGTTGAATGTGGTGTAAATTAATATTGATTGATTAAACAAACTTATGTAAATATAAACACTTGGTTTCAATCGAATGATCCAGCAGGTAGATTTCCTACGTCGATCCCAACCCCGGCCACTCAATCCAAGACATATACGAGCAGATTTTCGCCGAGCCATGGTCCGACGCCTCTCAATCCAAAGATCCTCTTCCGCTGGCAAGGATGCGAGGCTTCGCGCAGAACGCAGAGCAGATCGAAAAAGGAATGTCGGCGACGGTGATGAACGGATTGAAGCCAGAGGTGGTGGCGGTGTTCAAAGAGTTGGTGATGGAGTTGGGAGTTTGTGCACTCGGCACTGAGTAGTAACGGACAATACGAAGCAGTTGATCGGATGAGTTCCGCAGTTGAGAGGAAAAGTGTCTAAAACGAATTCTCTGTTATCTTCCCCATTTTGCCTCTCTTTCTGCATTCCTTACTGTTCAGCTTCTTTCTCTTTCTCCCGATTCAGAGCCTGGATCGTTGCTTCTTATGCTTCCAACTTTGTTTACAAATCAACCATGAAGTAGATTGGCAATTGCTGGGCAGTGATGGATATGAGCCAAAAAAATCAACTTAATCTGATTCCACACGAGGAGATTATCAAGATTTAGTCACTCATCATCCGCGACAGATTACTCAATGAGGCTTGTGTTCTATACCACTGATACATGCATATGTACGAGTTCGGAGGTCTCATAACACAAGTTTCACTATAAATAATACCATTTGATAACGTCAAAGTACTAAATAGTGGCAACTCGATCAAATGCAAGCTATTCGAACATATTCAAATGGTTCCAAGGAATAATACTCAACTTAAAAGCAGCAAGTATTTTTCATAGTCAAAATCGCTGATTATCTCTGATTCTCAACTAAGCAGAAAGCATAATACAACTATAACTAAAACAAAAAGCCACAGTTCATTCGTAAATATGAGAAAGTTGATTCAAGAATCCATTTTCAAGCCCCAACAACTTCAGTGGCCTCCTCGACAACTTCATCGGCAGGCCTATCTACCTTCACACCAACATCTTCCGAATAATCGCCATGAACCTAGACATAGTAAAAGAAAGGATTGGTCATAATGATAAAAACTATTGCAACAAGTTTCACGACCTCAAGTGACACTTGAGCACTAATTTGATAAGGCTGACGAGCAGACTTAATCAGAATCTTTCAATTAAGGAGTGAAAATGTAAGGAAGGGAAAACAGCAGGTTTAATGAGCAGCCAAATAGTAACAATATACCTCCATCAATTTTCCAAGATCAAACTTGGGAGCTTTCAAGATCTTGACCTTCCGAATGAAAACATTTTGTAGAGGGTATATGCTAGATGTTGCCTTCTCAATTTCTTTTCCAATTGATTCAGGAATAAACTTACGAACCAACTCTTTCAGATCACAAGACGTTGCCTGGTTTACCATGATCTCCCTCATCTTTCGGCGAATCTGCAATAAAAAACTATAGTTAACAAACAGTAACAGATCTGCCTGGTTGATTATGAAGATCTTATTCCCATGTCCCTAAAAACCAGGCTCATTGCACAAACATATTTTCATTCCAAGTGAGAAAGCAGAAACATAGCAAAAGCTGCATAGAGTTCAACTCAAGTGATGAGGAACAACTCTTAGTTTATAACTAAATGTTTGATACAAGAGAGTAGTGTAAAATAATAGAAAATCAAGTACTTGTTGTAATGGGAAAAAGAAAACCACTAGATCCAAGTACCAAACGTCAGGTAGAACAAAACATAATAATAGGCTATCATCACAGTAAAGATTAACACAAAATCCATTCTTAGTAGATGATTTTATTGTAACTTAGCTATTAAAGAAAACAGTCTTTGAGAATCTGGAAAGAATATTATCAATGACAATGAACAAGTATCAGCCACATATAATACACATAGAACAAGTAATGCTTCCATACATGCCCTTGTTTAAGAAAAATAGTTATCCACAACGCATTTTTTCATCCATAATTTCTGAACTCAATATCATTTTCCACAGCAAACTAATCATAGAAATTTCAGACATCAGTAAAACTTTCTTAAGACATTAGATAACATGTAGTCAGTAGTCACCTGTCTAATCTGACTGGATTGTGCATAACAGGTCCTTTTGACCTGGTTTGGGCGTCTCTTGGTAAATCCAATGCAGAACATCCTCAGAGTATAGCTGTCTGTGGTCTTAACATCCACATGAGCTTCAATCAACGTATGCCACTTCCTTACCAATGACCTCAATTTATCAGTAGTAAAATTCATTCCCTGTTTCACAATGGAGTTTTATGAGTTCTAAAATTCATAAGGTCTGCTTGAAATGGAAAAAAAAATACCATTACTGAAGAAAACTAAAAAATTAGTACCATTTAAACATTTTCATATCCATTCCAAAAATATAAAAGAACCAATCGTACCCAGAAATTAGTCAGAACATTCCTTCCTTGAACATCTTCGGCTCTCAATCTAATCTTACGGTAGGCATGCTCCTCATCATCCTGAAGGTCAGCCAAGGATACCTCAAACACACGGTGTTTAAGTCCCTCAGAGGCAATCTGTTGGAACAAGAATTATAAGTATTTAAAAAGATACAAACAAGAAGAAAATGCACAAAGCTGAAAGACAAATAATTGCTACAGCAATCTACAAGTACAAACATATTTCACTAAAAATTTTACTTTAGAACAATAAATGCATCTCCTAATCTACAAACGAGTGACTTCAACAACCACTACATCACCAGAAATTTCTGGTCTTGCACAAAAACAACAATTATATACCTAAAGAGCTTTGAGAGTTTAACACAGTAAATGTAGTTTCAATATTACCGAACACTCCATACCAAATAACAGCTGAATAAAATAATTCCATTTTCGCAATCAACGCAGTCGAGCAAGAAAAAACTGTTTGGTTGGAATATTAGGCAAACACTTCAAGCAAATAAATTTATATTTTCTTCAGTATATTCTACATTACGGGGCCTACTCCTTTTAAGTGCCTGTAGTGTCGGGCCACTTTCTATACCAGAAAATACAGTAACCTCTCCATAATAAGAAAAATGCTTCCACGCAACGAAAGCAAACTAGGGCAAACGTAGATGGAGAAAACTTAATAAAATATGAATGAAGGAGAGCGATTCAGGTGCCGAATCTACCTTGGTACCCTGAGTGCGAGTAACGAGAGTCTTCCCAACGTTCTTGACATTGAACACAGAAGGTGCCTTGATATCGTACCAATCCTTCTTGGCAAATGGGTCGACACTAAAGGATCCCCGGAGGAACGAAACCAAGTTAATATATACAACGATTAAGCACTGTAAACCATTACAGACTAATTGAATAACTAAAACTTGACGACATTAGACACCTAGATCTGATATGAGAAAATTCAAAGGAAAGAGACAGAATACTTACGTCTTCTTCTTGCCTCCCTTCTTTCCTTTCGAAATCCTCTTGTTTTTTCTGCAAATATAAGAAGAAAAACAGTTGCATCAGTGCAAAGAGTATAAACGGGAAGGAGGTGACAAAAGAAATGGAGACGAAGAGTTACCCGACAGCCATGGTTAGACCAGTTGGGAAGCTCAGAGCAGCTCCAGAGGAAGAAAAACTATCGAGAGAGATACGGCTGCGCCCAAAACCCTAATTTCATCTCTTTAAATAGGTCCTCGGCTCGTTTTCTTATTTTTATTTTTTATTTTTTATTTTTTATTTTTATTTTCTATTTTTTATTTTTATTTTCTACAAAATTCGTTAAATTTCACAAAAATCAGAGTAGCAATGGTGAACTATTTATTGTTTTATTTCTTTTTTTTTTTTAAATAAATATATATTTATTATAAAAAAATAAATTAAATTGTTCATTTTCTATTAATTTTTTTTATTTATATTTGATGTAAAATAGTAATTGAAACACTTGAAAAAATAGATAGGAGTATTGATAAAAATATTAAATTTATAATTCTATCAATTTAAATTTTAATTTTTTTTTTATATTTTTAGTTATATTATGTAAACTTATAATTATTTAATCAATAATAAATCAATTTAAATAATTGACAATTATTGAATAGATTATTTATATTTTATCGATATAAATTAACTTAAAAAAATTAATATAATTATTTAATTTTTGGGCAAACATTTAAAAGTAGAGATTCGTAACAAAAAAAAAAAAAAAAAAAAAAAAAAAAAAAAAAAAAAAAA